TTTGTGTGTCACCTTGGCTGGGCCAGGTTGTGTGGCTGGGCAGCTGGTGGTAGTTATTCCCCATGATGAGACTGGCAATCAGTTCCGTGGTGGGACCTACCACAAGCAGCTGAGTAGCTGCTTTAGGGATGTGGTCTGCTTCCCGTATATAAGAAACAGCTTTGCGAATGGTCTCTAGCTTATGGCACGCTTGAACCTTGCATGTAGCCATGTCGTTCAGCAGCCTGTCATGTGGTTTGGTAACATCAGGACTGTGCCATTTTATTTGTCGACCTTAGGCTTGTCAGTCTCAGCAGCCAGTAGCTGCCTGAGTGAAGAGATGCCTCTAGCTTCAGTGGGCCGGGAGCAAGAGGCAGAGCTGAAGCCCAAGGTCGAGGGGTTTTCACCGAGCCCCTAGAGCCTGGCACTTTGAACTCAGACTTAAAGCCTCCAGGCTGTAAGAGAATAAGCTCCTGTTTGTTCAGGTATCCCATTTGTGGTATATTCTTGTTAGAGTGGCATTAGGTATCCAGAACAGTCATACATAAAGAAAGCAAAAGGGCATTAAAAAAAAGCAAGGAAGAAAAGACCAAAATGGATGTCAGAAGAGATTCTCAAACTTGCTCTTGAATGGAAAGTAGCTAAAGCGAAGGGAAGAAATAATGATAAAAGAGCTGAACAGAAGATTTCAAAGGGCAGCTCAAGAAGACAAATAAAAGTATTGTAGTGAAATATTCAAAGACCTGGAGTTAGAAATCAGAAGGGAAGAACTTCCTTGGCATTTCTGAAGCTGAAATAACTGAAGAACAAAATTAAGCCTTGAATTGCAATATAAAGGATTCCATGGATAAAATATTGAATGGTGGGGGAAGCTTCAAGAGAATATGGACAGAATACACAATCACTGCACTAAAGAGAACTGGTTGATGTTCTTCTATTTCAGGGGGCAGCCAGCAACCATTGTTAGTGAAAGAAGTGCAAGCTGCACTGAAGGAATTGGCAAAAAACAAGGCTTCAGGAATTGATAGAATACTCATTGAGATGTTTCAACAAACAGATGCAGTGCTGGAGGTACTTACTCACCTATGCCAAGAAATTTGGAAGACAGCTACCTGACCAACTAACTGGAAGAGATCCGTATTTCTGCCCAGTCCAGAGAAAGGTGATCCAACAGAATGTGGAAATTATTGAACAGTATCATTAATATCACATGCAAGTACAATTTTGCTAAAGATAATGAAAAAATGGTTGCAGCAGTATATTGACAGGGAACTTCCAGAAATTCAAGTTGGATTCAGAAGAGAATGAGGAACAAGAAATATCATTGCTGATGTCAGATAGATCTTGGCTGAAAGCAAAGAATACCAGAAAATTGTTTACTTTTGTTGACTATGCAAAGTCATTTGACTGTATAAATCATAACAAATTATAGATAATATTGTGACGAATAGGAATTCCAGAACAGAATTTGATTGTTCTCATGAGTACCTTGTACATAGACCAAGAGACTGCTGTTTGAACAGAACAAAGGGAAATTTCATGGTTTAAAATGAGGGTGTGTGTCAAGGATGTATGCTTTCACAATACTTATTCAGTCTGTTTGCTGAACAGATAACCTGAGAATCTGGATTATATGAAGAAGAATGTGGCATTGGGTTTGGAGGAAGACTCATTAACAGCCTGCAGTATGCAGATGACACAACCTTGCTTGCTGAAAATGAAGATGACTTAAAGCACTTACTGATGAACATCAAAGACCGTAGTCTTCAGTATTGATTATATCTCAACATAAAATAAAAATCCTCACAACTGGACCAATAAGCACCATAATGATTAATAGAGAAAAGATTGAAATTGTGAGGGATTTCATTTTACATGGATCCACAATCCATACCCATTGAATCAGCTGCTAGTCAAGGAATCAGACATTGTACTACATTGGGAAAATGTGCTGCAGAAGACCTCTTTAAAGTATTAAGAAGCAAAGATGGCACTTAGACGACTAAGGTGTGCCTAACGTAAGCCATGGTATTTTCAGTCACCTCATGCATGTGAAAGCTGGACAGTGAATAAGGAAGACTGAAGAAGAGTTGATATCTTTGGATTTTGATGCCTTTGTTGAACAATACTGAAAATACAATGGGCTTCCAGAGGAATGAACAAATATGTCTTAGAAAAAGTGTAGCCAGAATGCACCTTGTAAGTGAGAATGGTCAGACTTCATCTCGTCAATTTTGGTCATGCGGTCAGGGGGAACCATTCCCTGGAGAGGAACATCATGCTTGATGTGTTAGGCTAGGTTCTCTAGAGAAGCAAAACCAGTAAAGCTTAGAGAGAGAGAGGAAGAGACATTTATCTTAGGAAAATGGCTCACACACTTATAGAAGCTAGCAAGTCCCAAGTTCTTGGATCAAACATCAAGTTAGAAGCTTTTCCTCACTCACGCAGCTGCAGGGGCTGACGAGCTCAAGGTTGACAGGCAGTATATGGGCTATTGACTCCAGTGAATTACAAATCCAAGATCTCCAAGCTGAATGGTGGATTGTTCGCTCACGGACAGTTGTAGGCAGCACGACAGGATCCTGATCCACAGAAGAGTGTCTCTTTTTCCCAGGATATCCGTAGATATATTGGAAGCAGGCCACACCACTAGGGAAACTCCCTTTCAATGGATTGGCTGCTCTAAACATATACATCCAATCTCATCATGGGAGTAACCCACAGCACAACTGCTTAAGCCACTCAGAATTGTGATCCAGCCAAGTTGACACACAACTCCAGCTATCACACTTGGTAAATTAGAGGGTCAGGGAAAAAGGGGAAGACCCTCAACAAGATAGGTTGACACAGTGGCTGCAACGATGGGTTTGTCAAGTGTAGCAAGGATTTTGAAGATTGTTTATGACTGGGCATTGTTTCGTTCGTTCTACATAGGATCTCTATGAGTCGGAATCAACTCGACAGCACCTAACAAGAAAAACAGTATTCCATTAGTGGTTAAAATATTCAGTTGCTAACCAAAAGGTTGGTGATTCAAACCCACCGGCTGCTTCATGGGAGAAAGATGAGGCAGTTCCTTCAGTAAAGATTTACAGCCTTGGAAACCCTATGGAGCAGTTCTACTCTGCCCTATAGGGTCGCTATGAGTCAGAATTGATTTGATGGTAGTGGGTTTTTGGTTTTAGTATTCAACTGGGTGAATATACCACAGTTTGTTTAGTCCTTCTTCTGTGGTTAACACCTGAGCTGTTTCCAGTTTTGAGTATTCTAAATAAAAGGCACCGTGCCCAGTCTTGTATTAGCCTTTTTGAGGACATGTGCTTTCATTTCTTTTGTGTACATACAGAAATGAAATGTTGGGTGACGATGAGTGTATGTTTAGTTTTACAAGAAGCTGCCAGACTTCTTCCCAAAATACTTGTAATGTTTTATGCTCCTGTCAGCAGTGTATGATTTCTGGCTACTCTACATCCTCATCAACATTTGGTGTTGTCAGTCTTTAATTGTAGCCATTCTCATGGGTCTGTAGTGATAACTCATTGTGAATGTAATTTGTATGTCTGTGATGACTAATGATATTGAGCACTTTAAATGAGCTTGTTGAGCATTTGGGAGCTCTGGTGGCACAGTGTCTAAGGCATTTGACTGCTAACTAGAAGGCTGGCGGTTCAAACCCACTAGCCACTCCTTGGAAGATTGGGCAATCTACTCCCATGGTGATATTTCCTAGGAAACCCAAGAAGGGGTTGCTATGAGTTGGATCCGACTCAACGGGAGTAAGTTTGGTTTTTGATTTTTGGTTGGGTATTTATGTATCTTCTTCTGTGAAATATAATTTTAATATATTTAAAATTATTAATCCAGTTCTGTAGCTTAAAAATTTTTGATCCATGTAATTTATTTTGAAGTCTGTTGGTTTTACTCTTCGCGTATTTAGTGAATTTTATAATTAAACTTTTAAAAGATAAACTTCAAACCAAGTTTTTCAAAGCTATAGGCTGAGAGGCTTTAAACAAAGGAAATAATAGATCACTGTCTTATTCCTTCCAGTATTCTTGCTCCTGGAATCATTAGTCAGCAGACAAGGGAGTATGAGGCAGTAGGTTCATGAACCTTAATTCTTGGCAATAAAGCATAAATAGAAGAAGGAATTTAAATGATGAAATTATTGGTATTAAATGTCTAATCGTAGGGAAATAGCGAATCCTTGAACTATATTGTCAATGATAATAACCAAGTAATGTAATAGTATAATTTAGCCTGGAAAAAAATCACAGATTTTATATTTATGGGTACATATCTGTAGAAATTTTTTTCATCCAACTTAACAATTTTTATTTTTATCCTTTTTAGGTATTATTAATTTATGTAAACCTGGAAATTCTGGGATACAGTCTCTAATTGGAGTACTTTGCATACCAAATATGGAAATACGGGTAGGCAAAAAATAATGTAATTGTATTATCCCTGGGCTCTTAGGAAATTAATTTGTAAAAATTTAGTATAAAAAGATACTTCCTTTGATGCTTTTTATCATGAATTTAAAATAAATGTGTAAAAATATTTAGTGCCTAGTTGAACCCTAACTGAAATATGAATGATTTGAAATTCTGCAATTCTGCTCCTGTTCAGAATGATGGCTATTATCAAAAATAGAACCACAAAACCTGATATTGTACTTTATTAATTAAGTTTCCAGTTAAAATTATTTATTATGCAGACAACACAGAAGAATCGATTTTCATTGTAGAGCTCAAGCGGTACATAAAAATACGTTTAGCAAAAAGCATATATAGACTTCAGCATCTTTTGCTTTTCAGCTTAGTTTTTATATGTTACGAGTTTTTATGTTTGAGATGGTGGTTTTTATTATTAAAATTGAATTATTTTTATATGTTTATTGATATAATTCTAAATTCATGAGTGTGTAAGACTTTGTATGAAACAGTTATAAAAAATTGAATTTGGAAACAAAAAAAAAACTTTTGAAATGGCTCTTCCCTTTGCTTAGATATTTTTTGTTTTGATTTTGTTCCTCATTTTTGCCCCTTCATTGCTGCTTTTTTATATAAACCAAACCTTGCTTAAAAACTGAAATAATTATGTTTAGGTCATGAAAATGGAAGGACGTAATTATCTAGGGGAAGAATTATAAGCAAGGAGCAGAAGATGGGGCAATTCAGTTGACTTCTTACAATTCAGCCAGGTTGGAAAAGAGCATGGTCTTTGGAGTTTAGCTTACTGGATTTTGACTCTAGGTTTTATTTATAGTTTCATGGCCTTGGACAAATTATTTTTAACCTTCAAATCTTTTAACCTTCAAACCTGTGTAAAATAGGGTTAATAAAAATTTGTTGAAAAGATTAAATGGTGTGTGTAGTAAGCATTCAATGTAGGCCTTAATACAGTAGTTTTCCAGAATACAGAAGTCTGATATATCATTTTCCTTATTCTGTGAATACTATATTTTTTTTAAAAAAAACTTTAAATATAGACTTATTCCATAAAAGTAAATGAACTTTATATGTTTGCCTTCCAGCGAGGTTTGCTTGAAGTGCTTTATGATATATTTCGTCTTCCTCTTCCTGTTGTGACTGAAGAGTTTATAGAAGCACTGCTCAGTGTAGGTGAGTATTGAAGTTCATTTGCATGTGTTCACATACTGTAATTTTAAAAGTGATTTATCTAATGGAGACCATCTCTAAAAGGAAAATTACCAAACTAAAACTAAATATGGAACATCAGTTTCTTTTCTTGCTGGATCACTGTGGCATGAAATTAATGTTTTAAAAAAAACACTTTTTTTTTTTTTAAATTGTGATTTGGGTGAAAGTTTACAGAGCAAATTCACTTTTCATACAGTAGTTCACATTACAGTTTTGTTTTATGACATTGACTGCAATTTCCCACAAATGCAACTCAAATAAATTTCTTCAACTAAAAAAATTTCATTTCTTCCTTATCACCCTAGCTTTTGCAAATGAGTAATGAAATTAATAAGAAGATAAGAAAGAAAGAGACATTAAGAAACATGTGTAATTCCCAAATGAAATTACCAAATCTTTGTCTTATTTTATTTTAGCCAAGTTTAGTCCTGGGTCCTAAAATGAAGGAAGTTAGATCAGTGGACATTAGCCTAAATAGGTTTTTTGTTTGTGTCTTCTTGATGAATTTTTTTAACCAACATTTTTAAAGTTCTTTATAGACTGACTACCCCATGGTTCTATGCCTGTCAGCAGTGTTTTAATGATGCATAATCTTTTAATCTCTGAATATTAATTATTTAGATCCAGGTAGATTCCAAGACAGTTGGAGGCTTTCAGATGGATTTGTAGCAGCCGAGGCAAAAACTATTCTTCCTCACCGTGCCAGATCCAGGTATAATTCATGTATATAAATGGTTCCATTTTATTACAGTTACTATTTTTATATCAAATTACCTAATACATGAAATATTGTATAAACTGTTTCTATGCTGTGTTTATTTATTTCTAGGCCAGACCTCATGGATAATTATTTGGCATTGATACTCTCTGCATTTATTCGTAATGGACTTTTAGAGGTAACACTGATGAATCTAATTATATTGTGTTGTGTTGTATTTTCTCTAATGAAATACTTTAAGATCAATAGACATGATACATAAATGTGTTCATACCTATTGCTGCAATGACATTTTCTTTTTATTTTCGAAGGGTTTGGTTGAAGTGATAACAAACAGTGATGATCATATCTCAGTTCGAGCTACCATTCTTTTAGGAGAGCTTTTACATATGGTAAGTTTAGCAACTTCTGATTATACATTTCTTACTTCTGTTTTAATTTATAAAACAGGCTATTTTAACAGGGTAAGTTTATTATCTCAAAAAATAAATTACTATTTTTTATGAATGTTTGACTTCACATTAAAAAGAGCCCTGATGCCTTGTATGTTAATAGATGTATTGGCTGGTTGTATAAATAAAAAAAAATACAGAAAATAAAAAATAACGAATTTTGACTTTTATATGCAAAGTGTAACCTTTTGAGTCCTATGAATCTTATTCTCTGTCAGAAAGACTTCCTACTTAAAAAGCAAGAAAGAACAAAACTAGGTATTACCTCAACCAGCTAGTAATGGAATGGATATACGACAGTCAGCACCTGAACTTTTGAGAGCTTTGGGCAAAATTAAAATTACCTTGTTTGAAAACCATATACTTTGTACGCTTGCAGTTTGTTTCATTTAGGGAATGGGAATACATATTTTTTAATGCCATAATTTTATGACATCAGTAAAACTTCTGGAAACCAGAAACTAGGAAAGTAATCTGACCAATCTCTATTTCCAGCAAACCAAACAGTGTCTGGGGAGGGGGAGGACTCTAAGTTTACATGAGAGAAAATCTATTTTTAGGTCACCTACTGACTAATAAAGGAGCTTTCGTAGCGTAGTACCTAAGGCATTGACTGCTAGCAAGAAGGCTGGTGGTTCAAACTCACCAGCCACTCCTTGGAAGGAAGGTTGAGCAATCTACTTCTGTAGTGATACTGCCTCAGAAACCCAAGGAGGGGTTGCTATGAGTCGGATCTGACTCCACGACTGTGCGTTGCATTGTGTTGTACTGATTAATAAAATACTAAATGAAAAGAACTACTTTAAACAAGATAAGGAAGCAGTTAATTCTGTTGCAGATCTTTTTAAATTATAGGTTATGATTTGTCTTTTTGGCATAGTGTTTTGTTTTTGGTGTTGTTTTCTCCATTTCTTTTCCTGTTTTTCATGTAGCAATGGGCTGTGTGAGTGAAATAAAGACAGTTAAAATAGTATAATGGTAATTGTCTCTTTGTTTCAATGAATTATTTAGCCATTTGCTGTCCCCATTCAGCCCATTTGTGAAAAAATTCAGTAGTGTCTGCAGACTCTCAAGTCTGATTATTTTTAGTTTAATACTTAAGACAGTATTTCTCATAAGAATATTCATAATCAGAATTACTTTTATATGAAGTAACCTATTTCATACATTTTACCCTTCTCCTTTGTCCAATAAATCAGAATTCTGTAATTCTCTTGAAATGTTAAAAGCTGGTCATTTTGGGTATAGCATTTTTAACTCACTAATGATAAAGGGTATAAGCTTATTATACTTAAATCTTCTGACTTCCACATTTAATTGCTTTACTTATCTTCATTGGTAGAAAGGCATTTGGTAATGGGATTTTGTTTAGAAAGCAGGAACTAATAATCTGGTTAAAGTTTCTTGGTATATGAGACAAACCTAGTTTGAGAAGGTAGTTTTTAAAATTTAAAGAGCCATCTCATAAGTTAGTGATATTGCATCTAGCATTTTAAATGTTATTTTTAACATTGTAGCACCAAATCTAAGTTTTGATGTAATCCTTTTAGATTACTTAAATTTAACTTTAATCGGCTTAATATTGAAATATAGGATCTGTGATATTTAGTGATATTGATATAGTGTGATCTTATACTTGTTATATCTTACCTTTGTTCAAAACAGATAAGCCAAAAATGGTAAATAAGATGTATCCATAGAAAAGAAACAATTCAATTAATTTCAGGATTAAAGCTTCTATTCAGTATCTTTAGTAGTCTTGAATTATAATGTCATATCTGTAACAAACTCTTCCTTTTTCCGAAACATTACATGTTTCATTTTAGGCAAACACAATTCTTCCTCATTCGCATAGCCATCATTTGCACTGTTTACCAACCCTAATGAATATGGCTGCATCCTTTGATATCCCCAAGGAAAAAAGACTGTAAGTATCAGTGAGGTAGCCAAGTTTACACTTGATAATCATAAAAATGCCCTTCTTTTTTTTAAAAAAGGAGTATATTTAAGTTATACTTGGAAATTCTTTTAGGAAAGCCTTATAGAAAAGAGTGAAAATTAATATTTAGTCATTTCTGTTTTAAGCGACAAAGTTTAAAAACATAGCAAAGTCACATTTTTGTAGCATGCTTTTAGATGAGGATGTAAACTTCTGCCAGATCACTAAAAATTTTGATTGCAGTCTTCTTGGATTATTTTATGTGTTTAGTGGCAATTCAGGCTCTTTTGTCATGTGCCTGTGAGTTATTTCAAATTAAGAAACCAAAAAACCCAACGATATATTCCCTTAGATCTGTGATGAAAAGTAGTTGCATTTAGTAACTTGCACTATTGGCAAAGTGGTAAGCTGAACTCTTAGTACTGAAGGAGATATTGCAAACAAAGAATTTATAAACGGAAGTAGAATAATACATTCTGTAGTTTTGCTAGTGTTCCAGTGCTAATAACTGTTGAATAAAGGTGAAGATGCAGGAGCTTGATTGGGAAGTATTAACAGAAATTTTTTTGATTTGATAGAGATTGTGTCTAGGGTTGGGGTTTCCCCCATTATGATCAGGAAAATTTGTAAATGTGCACACATTATCTTTTTTTCTTGATAATTTTGAAATGTGGTTTGTTAGCGATTTGAAACTATGGATCTTTATTAATAATTATATTGTCTAAAAGTTTAGTCAGCTTTATTAATATAGAAGTATACATATGGGGCCTTAATATAAATAAATAACATTCTATTTGGTTATTTATTAATTTTAATTATGTCATTGAAAATACTATTGTTTATCACCTTGAAGCTGTATTACAAACTGAGATCATCAGGGACCATATGAGTTCTGGCTGTTGGCTTATGTCAGTAATAGTAGTTCTCAGCTTTTATTTGTGTAGTTTCCTGGTAGAAAATGTACTTTCTCAAAGCCTGGTATACCTAAACTCTGGGTCAGCTTTTGGTCATTAATTTCAAGATTTATCAGGAATTCTAATTTACCTCCAGAATTCCAGTAATAACATTGTTGTTAGGTGCTGTCAACATGACAACATAGCAACTATATAACACAATGAAACACTGCCTCGTCCCCTGTCATCCTTACAGCCATTGCTATGTTGTTGCAGACACTGTGCAGTCCATTTCTTTGAGGATTTTCCTCTTTTTTCACTAACCCTCTACTTTATTGAGCATGATGTCTTTCTCCTGGGACTTGTCCCTCCTGATACCATGAAGAAAAAGTGTGAGGTGAAGTTTCTCCTTCCTCATTTCTAAGGAGCATTCTGGATGTACTTCTTCCAAGACAGATTTGTTCTTTCATCTAGCAGTCCATGATATATTCAGTATTCTTCACCAACACCCTAATTCAAAGGCATCATTTTTTCTTTGGTCTTTCTTATTCATTGTCCAGCTTTTGCATGCATATGAGGCTATTAAAAATACCATGTCTTAGGTCAGGCATGCTTAAATCTTTGAAGAAACATCTTTGCTTTTTAACACTTTAAAGAGATCTTTAAATAATAAGCAATGATAGTGATAATATTAAATAATAATAGTTCTCTTAAAATGGTCTTTATTAACTCAGTAAGCTCTCTATAAAGCTTACTGTTTTGAGTCAGGTCCGACTCGACGGCACATAACAACAACAACTAAGACTAAATGTTTGCCTATTTGAGCACATTTCAAATTGTTGAGTGGGAAACCCTCAAAAAGATGGATTGACACAGTGGCTGCAATGATGGGCTCAAGAATAGCAAGGATTGTGAGGATGACGCAGGACCAGGCAGTGTTTTGTTCTGTTGTACGTAGGATCATTATGAGTTGGAGCTAAATTGATGGCACCTAACAACAATGACATTTTTAAATTCTAAATCTGATTAATATTCACCATAAGTTTTGATGGTGATAGTTAATTGTTAAAAAATTTTTCCAAGATGCTTCACAACAAGGAATTAAACATAATTTTAAAAAATATACCATTTACAGTTATAGATCAGTGGAGAAAACAGAGATTTTTCATAATCACTGATTATCCTTTTTTTGAGACGTTGAAATTATATCTCATCCTCTTACCATAAACAAAAATCAGTTGTGGGTAGTTTTAAAATTTAAATGTAAAAAGGCCAAGCTTTAAAACTTTCAGGAGAAAATATAAGAAGCTGAGTTTCTGAAGGAGTCCTAAGTGACACAAATGGTTAAACGCTGGACTATAAACTCCCAGAGGCTCCTCTGAAGTACGAAGATCCCCCTGGTGATCTGCTTCCCAACCTTGAAAACCCTATGAGCAGTTGTGCTTTGCACACACGGGGTCTCCATGAGTTCATCGACTCATGGCTACTAAGAACTGACTTATGGAAGAAGTTCTTAAAAGCATTATACAAAAAACTGCTCGTTGAGGAAGAAAAGGTTGGTGAAGACATGTTTAAATGCGTCTAAATAGTGTTTCTTCATACACATCAGCAGTGTTCTTGATTGTTTTGGGGGAGGAGTGGTTTCAAATTTAAGTAATCCACTTTTTTTTAGTAATACTCTCTACCTTGACTTGTAGCTTTAATAATTTGCCACAGTAATATTTTAAAAATTATATTAGTCTTGCTATTGTATTAATTGAATTTGTTTTCTCATTAGGCGAGCCAGTGCAGCCTTGAACTGCTTAAAACGCTTCCATGAAATGAAGAAACGAGGACCTAAGCCTTACAGCCTTCATTTAGATCACATTATTCAGAAAGCAATTGCAACACACCAGAAACGGGATCAATATCTCCGAGTTCAGAAAGAGATATTTTTTCTTAAGGTCCTGACATGAAATTGCAATTTTAACTTTAAAACCATTTCCTAATTCTTAACCAATGCACTTAAGTGTTTGTGTACTTGAATAGGTTTATTATGTTATTCATGAATATAGACTTCGAATGGCTTCCAAGTTTTACAGTGACTGTAGGCATTTTAGGGCTTTATTTTACTAACTTTTTATGGTTAAAAAACCTCAACAGTCTCTTCTTAAATGAAAAATCTTTCTTTTTGTTTTAAAAGTTCGGATTTGGTATGGTGATATGAGGACAGTTTGCCTTAATTTTCCTTGTTTTCTGATGATTTTAGGATACAGAGGAAGCACTTTTAATGAACCTTAGAGATAGTCAAGTCCTTCAACATAAAGAGAATCTTGATTGGAATTGGAATCTCATAGGGACCATTCTTAAGGTATATACCTCTTTATGATGATGGCTTGATTATCCTTATTTTGTAGTCATTATCTTTCTAGCTGTTTGAGAATTGATAAATATGTACATAATATATTATGTTTTTCCAGTGGCCAAATGTAAATCTAAGAAACTATAAAGATGAACAGTTGCACAGGTATGTAAGAACTATTTGCATTTAAATTTAAAGAACTTAGATTTCAATTATATTATACCTATTGCCTGCTAAAAATGATAATTGGTGTTCTAATGTAAAGTTCAATAAGTATATAAATAAGTTTTTATATAGTCTTCTTTTTTTAATTTTTATTGTGATTTGAGTGAAAGTTTACAGAGCAAATTCACTTTGCATACAGCAATTCACACACACTTTGTCTCATGACATTGACTGCAATTTCCCACAGTGCAACAGCTTCCCTCCCACTTCCTCCCCATAGTTACCTCTTCCCTGTGTCCCTCCCTCCCATGCACTTCTGCCCCACAAGCTGTCTCCCTGTGCATTCGCTGCCCTTCTCCCATGACTGATTTCTCCAAGGAGTGTATCTACCTAATGTAAATGTTCAGCTCATATGCCTGTCTTTTGTTTGGCTGGAAGCCACAGGTATGGGTTCAATTCCAGACCTGAAGGGCAGATAGGGGCCATAGTCTTAGTGGTTCTATCAGGCTCTATCAGACCAACAAACCTGGTCCTTTTTTTTTTTTTTTTTTTTAATGATTTTGAGTTTTGTTGCACATTGTGCTTCTAGTCTATCCAGGATCTCCTATATAGATTCCTCTCTGAGTAATTGACAGTGGTAGCTGGGCGCCCTTTAGTTCTGGTCTCATAGTCATATAGGCTGAGGATCACATGGTATACCAGTTGCTTGGACTAATTCTTTCCATGCTACCAAAGGGGCAGGGAGGCTGCATCTTCTGACCTCCTCTAACCCCACAAGAGGAAGACAGAATCACCATGAGTAGGCCTAGACCTATTCTTGCGAGGCCAGACATGTTGCCTCCCTTCTCATGAACCCTGATACTAACTGTTCTTCCTACAGCACCTACCTCCTCTCTGCTGGATTCTATAAATTGCTGCAGTGGCCACACAGAACTCACAGATTATGGGGTTTATTAGGGAAGCAACAGGCTATAATTCAAGTTCAGAAATGTACTCGTTCTCTTGCAGCCAGCCATCTTACTTAGCAGCCAGCAGTTTCTCTCTCAGCAGCACGTGTCTCTTGTGTCTCTCTCTCAGCAGTGAGTATCTCTCATGTTTGTCAGTAGCACATGTCTGTTGCGTCTCTCTCTCAGCAGCACATGTCTCTCGCATTTGTCTCAGCAAGTATGTTTCTCTCAGGAGTGCATTTCTCTTAGCAGCATATCTCTCTCAGCCAACAGTCAGAGAGACTCCTTCTGCCTCTAGGAGCGCCCCTTTTGGGCCTGGCAGAGTGGCCATATTAACCAATCCCAACATCAGAATTCCATACACCTGAGAGATAACTTCCCAGAAGATTGCTTCTTGCCACCCTCAACAGAAATACACCAGGTGGATAACTTTAACAATCAGGAGCACTCAGTTGCTCATAGCAAATTCCACCATGGAATTTACAAAGACTTATGGCTAGAAAAGCCATACCAGGTAATTTACTATACCGCAGGCCACCCCCTGGCTTTTCTAACCATTTTCCCTTTTATGCTTAAAAAATTAACACCCCTTTCACCATCAGTTTAAGAGTAACCACACCCATGAAAGCATGTAAACCAGCCACATAATGCCTTTATATTCCCGTGTTTTAGATAGCCAACTTCTAATTTGCCCCTCTCTATCAAACCAGTACTGTGAGGAGACAAGCATGTTCCTTTCTCTTTGAAGAATCTTCTCTTCTGCTTGGAAACTTTGGACATCTGCATCCATAAATAAGCAAAGTCCAACCCAATGCAAGCAATCAAATTGCAGCATCTTAACACCAGCTCAGTGTCAAATATCTTCCTCTTTGTTTGGTCAGGTTCTGGTCAGCTCAGCCCTACCCATCCCAGCTAGGTCATGGGTACCAGCTGCCAAGTTTGGGAGTCACACTCTTCCCTTCATTTAGACCAGCCAGCACCTTCTCTCACAGTCTCAGTCCTTGGGGACTATTTCAATGCCTATAGGCTCACAACTTCTTGTACTTCAGACCAGCCAGCCCTTACTCTCATCCCCAGCTTCTGTGGCCTAGTTCAAAGAGTACCAAACTCAGCCTGTTTCTTCTTTGCTGATCTTACCCCATTTCCACTCAAGTGAACCCGGGTGGTCACAAGTGAGTAATATACAAGCCTGCTACTCACTGGCTTCCTTTAACTTTCAGTCCTGGAAGGGGTTTCTCTCATGGACAATGACTTTCCTGTCTCGATACATCCAAAGCCTATCTGCTCGCTCAAAATTCAAAAAAGCCAAGCAATCATTTTTCTTTTCCTGTAGGTCCTGTCTTCAAATGCAGATCTTCTGTTCTCTCAGTAGCTCTGGTTGGGACTCAGGTTTTCTACCTAAGCCCCTAGTATTCTACATGCAGGGCTTGAAACAAAAGCCTGTGTTTTTGCTGGTCAAATTCTGTTTCCCCTTTTAACTTGTCCAATCAAGTATCAGCTGAAGGCAGACTTACATACTCTCTGTTATGCACACCCCATAATCATTTCTAATGTACAACCAGATAAGAGAACATTCAATACCCTTAGTACATTCAGATAAACACATAATCTAAAACACATAATCCTTTATAAGACATTCCATGTTCATCTCTTCCTTTGATTATCTTCCCATTCTATATATACGGCCTTGGGCCTTTGGCTGGGTGTAACCAAAAGCCCTAGCCTCTGGATCAATTATCTCCTTTAATAGGTAACACCTACCAAAGTAACCACCTGAGAATCCAAAGTTTCACTTCCCAGGCCCCTCCCTTCTTTGTTTTACAATGTTCCGTGCTTCTATGAGTCTGGAGCCACTGCAATGAATCCTGCTTCTGACACCAACTGCCAAAGGGGCAGGAAGGCCACATCTTCTGATGTCCTCTAACCCCACAAGAGGAAGACAGAATTACCATCAGTACCTGCAGGCCTATTTCTGCGAGGCCAGACATGCTGCCTCCCTCCAGCCCTTTCACCAACCCTGATACCAACCCTTCTTCCTGCAGCACCCATCACCTCTCTGCTGGGTTTGATAATTCACTGTAGTGGCCACACACAACTCACAGCTTATGGGGTTTATTAGGGAAGCAACAGGCTGCAATTCAAGTTCAGAAATCCACTTGGTCTCTTGCAGCCAGCTGTCTCACTTAGCAGCCACTAGTCTCTCTCTCAGCAATGCATGTCTCTCACATCTCTCTCTCAGCACGTGTGTGTCTCTCAGGAGTGCATTTCTCTCAGTAGCACGTCTTTCTCAGCCAACAGTCAGAGAGACTCCTTCTGCCTCTAGTAGGGCTTCTTTTGAGCCTGGCAGAGTGACCAAACTAACCAATCCTAACATCAGAATTCTATACACCTAAGAGAGAACTTCCTAGAAGATTGCTTTGCACCACTCTCAACAGAAATATCCCAGGTGGATAACTTTAACAATCGAGCTACTCATGGAAATTCCACCACGGAGTTTACAAAGACTTATGGCTAGAAAAGCCATACCAGGCAATTTACTACATTGCACATAGTATTTCCCTCACAAAATAGTTGACCTTTCTTAATATTCTGATTCTCCTTCTACTTGTATCTGTATCATTATTCTGTGCTCTAGCCAAAGAGAGACCCATTGTTACATCTAGATGGCTACTTGCCAGATTTTAAGATCCCAGTCGCTACTACCAAAGTAGCATGTGGAACAGTGTTTTTGTGTAGTATGTTATGCCAATTGAGCTTGATGTCCCCTGCGACTATGGTCCCGAGCTCATAGGTCCAGCTGCTTGTTCCCTGTGGCAGCTGGCTGTGGCCAAGAAGTGACTACAACCTTGTCCCTTGTCAGCTCTACTATGTACCTGGGAATTCTTATAGAACATACAAATACACTGTCTGAAATACACTGAAACATTGTCTGACAACCCTATACATGATCTTGGGCCATCACTCTTCCCTGCATGGACATACCTAATAGTTAAGCCTGCCCATCCATCTGTCCACCCATATATCAATGTTTGCCTTCACTGACAATACAGTACTGTATGTGCAAAAGGGTTCATCTTTGTTGCATGTACCTCCCATGCACCTCTCTATGTCTTCCTCTTCCTCAGTACCACCATGTTGATCACTCACATTTGGTACATTTCCCTTCTTATATAGAGTCTTTTTATAAGAAATCTAAATCCAGCTAAATCTTTTTCTAGATATTTACATTCTGGTGATAGATATGGAACAGATGAAGTAGTTAAGATAAAACTTTCTAAAATTGAGGTAATATTATAAGGATGACATAATAAGGATGTAGTATTTCCCTCACAAAATAGTTGGCCTTTCTCAGTGTTCTGATTCTCCTTCTACTTGTATCTGTCTTTGGAAAGCTATCCTTTCTTCCTACTCCTCATTCTCCCCTTAACCAGTCAGTGTTCTCTTCACCATTTATGAAACAGATCAATGCCCATAGCATATAAAATGCTTCAAGCAACTAGGCTGTACTCTAGTATACCCAGGAATTTTTACTTCCTCTGAGTTTAGACTAACCAACCAGTATTGATCACATGGCCTAGAGGGCCTTATTTTATTTTTGAGAAGGATTATTTGACTCTATTATTATATTTATGATACCTAACTTAATATCTGTACTGTACTGAGAAATATACAAAATATAAATTACACTGGTATTAAGAAACAAAGCATTAACTTTTCATATTCCTTGAGTACAGAAATGATGTCTCATTCACCTTTTTTCCCAAAATTCCTAATACTGGACCTGGCACATCTATTGAATTTGATTGTAGTACATGAAATTAAATAGAAGCTTAGAACATGATATTGAATACTATAACTTTTAGGAGTTCTGGTGGTGTAGGGCCTAAGGCACTTGACTGCTAACTAGAAGCCTGGTGGTTCAAATCCACCAGCTACTCCGCGGAAGGAAGTTTGGGCAATGTACTTCCGTAGAGATATGGCCTCGAAAATCCAAGGAGGGGTCGCTATGAGTTAGGACCGACTCAATGGCAGTGAGTTTTTTTTTTTTTCCTAAGAACTTTTAAATATCATAAATTATATCCTTCATAAATTTAGTTGTATAAATTTTATGTATAGCTGTTATATTTGGCCTTTTGCCTAATTGTGAAAAACTGACAGAATCATATTGTGGTAACATGTCCTTATAATTATCTAGTATAAAGTTATTTTATATAAGCATGGGACAAAGTTCTTCATAGCATGAAATAAAAGAACATTTAAATGATTTATGTCCAGCCAGCTTCCTCGTATTTATCCAGCCTCATCTTCTATCCGCATTTTCTTTTCTCCACTGTCTCTTATTTCGGTGTTTCACTGTAAAAGTCTTATTGCACAAAAGCATCCTTTACACTGAAGTTCCTTTTTTATGAATTGTTCACATTTATTTATTAAGTTTCATGCTGTTTACCCCACTGGTTTAGACCACAATCCTATTCACAGACTTGTAACATCATAAGCTGTAGATAAGATGCTCAAATAATTATTTGCATTTGCTTACTTTGTTGCTAATTTGATTTTGATCTCAGGTTTGTACGAAGGCTACTTTATTTTTACAAGCCCAGCAGTAAATTATATGCCAACCTAGATCTGGATTTTGCCAAGTCCAAGCAGCTCACAGTTGTGGGGTGCCAGTTTACAGAATTTCTTCTTGAATCTGAAGAGGTAGGCACTTTAAGTATTTTCCAGAGCAATTTTTTTTTTTTTCAATTCAGTCCTCCTCCCCAATTCTTCAGCTGTGTTTAGCTACTCCTTGTGAATTTCTATATATACTATATTTAGATTTCAAAGAGTGGCTTAAGAAGAGGAAGTCTTACAATGAAATGTGCGAAGACCTGGAGTTAGAAAACCAAAAGGGAAGAACACGGTTGACATTTCTCAGGCTGTAAGAATTGAAAACAAAAAATTCAAACCTTGAGTTGCAATATTGAAGGATTCTATAGGCTAAATATTGAATGATGTAGGAAGCATTAAAAGAAGATAGAAGGAATACACAGAGTCACTGTACCAAAAAGAATTAGTCAACATTCAGCTATTTCAGGAGGTATAGCATATAATCTGGTAGCCTAGTGCCTAAGGCACTTGACTGCTAACCATAAAGCTGACGGTTCAAACCCACCAGCCACTCCTCGGAAGGAAGGTTGGGCAATCTACTTCCATTGTGATACTGCGTCAGAAACCCAAGGAGGGGTCTCTATGAGTCAGGTCTGACTTGACAGGACATAACAACAAAGCATGTGATCAAGAACCAATAGTATTGATGGAAAAAGTCCAAGCTGCACTGAAAGCACTGGCAAAAAACAAGGCTCCAGGAATTGGCAGACTATCTACTGAGGTGGTTCAGCAAACTCATGACTATTAGAGGCACTTAATCATTTAGCCAAGAAATTTGGAAGATGGCTGCCTGGCAGCAGACTGGAATAAATCAATATTTGTGCCCATTCCAAGGAAAGGTGATGCACCAGAATGTGGAAATTATCAAATGATATCATTAATATTACATGCAAGTAAAATTTCGCTAAAGATAATTTTAAAATGATTGTAGCAGTATATTGACAGGGAGCTTCCAGAATTTCAAGCTGAATTCCGAAGAGGATGTGGAATGAGAAATATCATTGCTGATGTCAGATGGATCTTGGCTAAAAGCAAAGAACACCAGGAAGATGTTTGCATGTGTTTTATTGACTATGCAAAGGCGTTTGACTATGTGGATTATAACAGATTATGGATAACAATGCAGAGAATGGGAATTCCAGAACACCTAATTGTGCTCATGAGGAACCTGTACATAGACTAAGAGGTAGTTGTGAATACTGCATGGTTTAAAAACAGGAAGGGTGTGTATCAGGCTGTATCCCTTTACCATCCTTATTCAATCTGTATGCTGAGCACATCATTCTAAAGGCTGAAGTATATAAAGAAGTACATGGCATCAAGATTGGAGAAAGATTCATTAACAGCCTGCAATATGCTGATGACACAGCCTTGCTTGCTGAAAGGGAAAATGACTTGAAGCACTTACTGATAAAGATCAGACTATAGTCTTCATTGTGGATTACACCTCAACATAAAGAAAACAAATATGCTCACAACTGGGCCAATAAATGACATTACAGTAAATGGGAAAAAAACTGAAGTTGTCAGGGATTTCATGTTACTTGGATACATAATTAACACCAATGGAAGTAGCAGTCAAGAGATCAGATTACGTATTGCACTGGGAAAATCTGCTGCAAAAGATTTAATCCTGAATTAGTCACCGGCTAGTCAGTGGCATAGTGCCTAAGGCATTTGACTGCTAACCAGAAGGCTGGCGGTTCAAACCCACAAGCCACTCCTCTGAAGGAAGATTGGACAATCTACTTCCGTAGTGACACTGCCTCAGAAACCCAAGGAGGGGTCGCTGTGAGTCAGATCTGACTTGACGGCAGTGAATTTGGTTTTTTTGGTTTAGTTTTGTGATTTGGGGCAAGTTATTTGCCCTCTAAAATAGTTGTTTTACTTGTCTGTAAAATGGAAAATAATTTCATTTCCATGTGGCCTTGTGATGAATGAATGGGATTGAAAATAAAACATACTCAGTCATTAGCAGCAGTTGTTAGAAACATCATCATTATCGTTAAATATTTTTTACACTTGATTGAAGTTGGTTTTTCTGTTTATATTCCTTAATTGCTTTTCCCACACTTACCACAATGTATTTCTTTTAGGATGGGCAAGGATATTTAGAAGATCTAGTAAAGGATATTGTTCAGTGGCTCAATGCCTCATCTGGAATGAAACCTGAAAGAAGTCTTCAAAATAATGGTTTATTGACTACCCTTAGTCAACACTACTTTTTATTTATTGGAACACTTTCTTGCAACCCTCATGGAGTCAAAATGCTGGAAAAATGCAGTGTATTTCAATGGTGAGCAGTTATACATTCTGTTTCTAGTATGTACATAAACTTTTTTTAAAAAATGTGGTCAAAAAGGATATGCTTTCTAGTCTGTACATGTATATTTGACAAGTATTACTCAAATACAAAGAACTTTAATTAGAGATGACTTGATGTTTTTATATTCTTTATGTGATATTTATCATTAAATGCTTTTGAAAATGTTTTATTTATATTGGGAACTAATAAATATGTGTTGACTTAGTAAATTAATATAGTAATTTCTAATTCGTTATTCTTATCCTTTCTTTAGTCTCCTTAACCTATGTTCCTTGAAAAACCAAGATCATTTACTAAAACTGACAGTTTCTAGCTTGGACTATAGCAGAGATGGATTGGCTAGAGTTATCCTTTCCAAAATCCTAACTGCAGCCACTGATGTGAGTATAACATACCCAATAAAATTGTATTTTATATAACCAGTTTAGTCAATACTTCATAGACTTTAACCAAGTAATATTAATTGGTTAATATTAATTAAAAAAATATTAATAAAAAAAGAATATGTGATAGAATTTAAGGTTACTTTAGAATTTTAGTTCCTCTAAGGAACTCTGTATAGAGCTATATAGTGGTTAAGGCAATTGGCTGCTAATCAAAGATCACTGGTTCAAACCCACCAGCCACTCCATAGAAGAAAGATGATGCTTCCATAAGGATTTGCAGTCTTGGAAACACAGTGGGGGTCACTGTGAGCCAGAAACGACTCAATGGCAGTGAGTTTGGTTTTGGATAGGAAGGAAATCTATATAGGATTCACATTTTTATATAAAGGTGAAGTAGCAGCTAGATAGAAAGGTAAGTGTGTTTAGTTTAGTTTTATTTTACATAGCACACAAAAAAATTCATATCAAGGACCAGATTATCAGTTTCAGTTTTTCTGCCCTTTGAAAGTGGCAGAACTGTCCCAAAACAAAATCAAGTAGGCTCTGTCCATGATAAAACTTTTTTGTCTGTTGGTTTATTTTTTTAATATTTTCATGTTTCTTTATAGGCCTGTAGGCTGTATGCAACAAAACATTTAAGGGTATTATTGAGAGCTAATGTTGAATTCTTCAGTAATTGGGGAATTGAGTTACTCGTGACACAGCTGCACGATAAAAACAAAACGATCTCCTCTGAAGCTCTTGATATCCTTGATGAAGCATGTGAAGACAAGGTGAAGGGTTTTTTTATGTTGAAATACTTAAATATGAATTTTTCTTAAATTTTTCAATATTAATAGATAATTATATGAGATTATAATGTTTATTACATAGGCATCTTTGAAATGAAGAATTTGTTACCTTTGTGTAGTTGTTAATTTGCCTAATGCTCATTTATTTTAGGCCAATCTCCATGCTCTTATTCAGATGAAGCCAGCTTTATCTCATCTTGGAGACAAAGGCTTGCTTCTCCTCCTGAGGTAAATTTTAAGTAAATTTTTCATGTACCTCTGCTCTCAGTTGTGCTTTCTTTAGGCAGAAGACATTAAAGTTAAATTTAAATCTGAACAGGAAGCACTCTAGAAGTTTACCCTTTTAATTTCTGATAAAGGCCCATTTTAGAATTTTGGAAATCTTTTAATATTCTAGTATTTTGTCTTTTTATTGTTTGTCTCAGTGTCCCCTCCCCCCCATTTATTATTTCCCTATGCTTTTTTGACATTCTTTTCTCTTTGTTAGGTTGGTGTATATTTGCAAAGAATTGTGCAAATTTATTTGTGATTGAAATTATAGTAAGTTATAGTTGACCTTTTAATTTTAGGAGGGAACCATTCTTTAATTCTTACAACTCCTTAAATTTTTTGTGTCAGGTAATTTAGCACAAATTTTTTTTGTTGAACTCAATGTTAAACCACTGTTTTAATTTACAGATTTCTCTCTATTCCAAAAGGATTTTCCTATCTGAATGAAAGGGGTTTTGTAGCAAAACAATTGGAAAAATGGCACAAGGTAACCTCTCAATAAATAAGATTTAATTTATGTTTTTATCTTGGGAAATTTGTGTACTTAGAGGATGATTTTTTTATATCATCAAGATTTTGCAGCTCATGAGATGAAATGTTCTAATAGTCATTCATATAAAGTCAAGTCCTAAATTCTGTGTAATTACTAGTACTTATATACCAAAAAGAATTGGTCAGCATTCATCCATTTCAGGAGGTAGTATATGATCAAAAACGGATAGTATTGAAGGAAGATGTCCAAACTGCAATAAAGGAATTGGCAAAAATCAAGGCATCAGAAATTGATGGGAGCCCTTCGAAATGTTTCAGCAAATGGATGCAGTGGTGGACACCCTCACTAGTTTATGCCAAGAAATTTAGAAGATAGCTATTTGGCCAACCAACTGGAAGATGTCCATATTGTGGTCATTCCAAAGAAAGGTGATCCAACACAATGTAGAAATTACTAAACAATAACATTAATAACACATGCAAGTGAAATTTTGCTGAAGGTAGTTCAAAAGTGGTTGCAGCAGTATATTGACAGGGAACTGCCAGAAATATAAGCCAGATTCAGAAGAGGACATGGAATGAGTTATTTCATTGCTAATGTCAGTTCGCTCTTGGCTGAAAACAGAGAATACCAGAAAGATGTCTACCTGTGTTTTATTGATTATGCTAAGGTATTTGACTGTGTGTGTCATAACAAATTATGGATAACCTTGCAAACAATGGGAATTCCAGAACACTTAATTGTTCTTATGAGGAACCTGTACATAGACCAAGAGGCAGTTGTTTGAACAGAACAAGTGGATACTGTGTGGTTTTCAAGTTTTAGTAAGAAACAATTTATATTTTGCCTTATTTCAATCAGTGGGAAAAGAGATAATCATTCAGTGTGCTAAAATGATAGAAGTCAATTAATTTCTGCTTTAAAGTTCCTAGTGAATACCTTCAGGAATTAACTTTATGGAGCTATTAAAAAAAGATTGGGTAAGAGACTCAGACAAAATGAAAACCAAAACACTTTTTTCACTTATTTGGACCCAAATTATTAATTGAAAGTGAGAGACAAAGTATAGATGGAAAGCTTTTGGATAGGATAAAACTTTTGTATTCATACTATCTTGCTGTATTTTTCCCAAAAATTTTAAAAATTTCCTAAATAGATGTTCTTTTCGTTTTTGTAATTTTTTTGCTTTTAAGATAATGATAGGTAACTGATATATTGTAAACTTAGTGTACGTCATTAAGCATTGTTGTTGTTGTTGTTATGTGCCGTCGAGTCAAACCCGACTCATAGTGACCCCTCCTTGGGTTTCCGAGGCAGTATCACTACAGAAGTAGGATTGCCCACCCTTCCTTCCGAGGAGTGGCTGGTGGGTTTGAACCGCCAGCCGTCTGGTTAGCAGGCAAGTGTCTTAGCCACTATGCTACCAGAGCTTTGTTATATGATACTAAAACAAAATTATCTTCTAGGAATATAATTCAAAATATGTTGACTTGATTGAGGAACAACTTAATGAAGCACTTACTACTTACCGGAAGCCTATTGATGGTGATAATTACGTCCGTCGGAGTAACCAAAGGTACAGTCCTGTTAATGGAATAATTATTGCTGGTCCTCCAATATCAAGATTTAGAGCCAATTTGTTATGTTATTATTTAAAAAAAAGCATTTTCTGACTTCTTGTGTGTTCTTTATCTTACACTGCAAAGAAAAGATCTTAAAGCATAGCATTGGCTCTCAAAAATTCCAATGGCATATATAACACATGGAACACACTCAGTGAGATAGCATTCTATGTGCAGTCCAGCTAGATGATTATGATTTTTCTAGAGAAATCCTCATGCCTTCCCATCTCTATACTTCTATTTATGCTGGAGAATTACATCTAATTTTACTTAATATATTATCCATATTTTAATTAACATGTTTAAAATGAGCCACTGTGCATATGAAATCATCTTTATTATATTAGATTACAGCGTCCTCATGTCTACCTACCTGTACACCTGTATGGACAACTGGTACACCACAAAACAGGCTGTCATTTGTTGGAAGTACAGGTAAAATATAATTTGCTTATTTTAAATAGCTACAATGTTTTTTTTTTAAGTCTTAATATTTCGAAAGTATTACCTTTGCAAAATCTTCCCAAAAGCCTTAAAGTCAGTAACATGATTGCTTTTTAAAGTCATCTATCTTGTAATAGCCTTAGGCAGTCTGTGTTTATAATTCTTAAATATATCCTTTTCTTGCCTGCATTTTACTGAATTACAGGTGACCTTCTGTACAGCTAGCCTGTTACACAGAGTAAGCAATCCAGAGCAAGTCTTGAGTTCGTGGTTTGTTGAGTAACTTCAGCTTTCTTTAGTAAACAACACACTGAAAAACGGAATTTTTTCCCGAGAAGTTAAACTGAATCTCATACAGATTAATTTATCCTTGGCGAGCAACTGGTGACACAGTGGTTAAAGCATTTGACTGCTAACTAAGAGGTCAGCAGTTTGAACCTACCCAGCCTTTTTGCAGGAGAAAGATGCGGCAGTGGACTTCCATAAAGATTTATAGCCTTGGAAACCCTATGGAGCAGTTCTGTGTCTTAGAGGGTGTCACTGAGTTGGAATCAACTCATTGTTGGTAGGCTTGGTCCTTAATTAAGCAAGCAATTGTATTTTTGAGTATAATATGTACTCTGGGTTTATGACTATGTTTTGCAATTAGATGTTTTAAATAGATAAAATTTTTTCTTATTTTGAAAATAGTTTTGGTATTTTTTTGTGTGTTAACAATAATAATCTAACAATTTAGTTCCTTCTTGTATCAGTGTTTATCTCAGAAGCACAAAATTTTTTATAAATATACTCTGTAGTTTCATGTTTTTGTATTATGTATATGAAGACTTAGGGAGCAGATAACCTTGTATTTTCTTTAAAAGAAATTCACTAACATTTTAAATGGTTTGTTCAGTGCCATTACCTACCAGGCTGATAAAATCTAAGTACTGATTATTTTCTAGATAAAAGAAATTATGATAACATTTTTATAATGCCTCCGCACAAGGCATATTCTATTAAGCACTTCATACGTAATAATTGAATTGTTGAACCTTTTGCGACAGATGGTATCTTATATCTTGACTTTGGGACTTAGGAATTTGAGGCATAGGAGGTTAAGTGACTTGCTTATGGCCGCATAGCTAGTAATAGAAACCCAGACCTGGTCCTTTAATGCTGCCTCTCAAGAAATCTCACACAAAATTATTTTAGAATTTTAAATACTAAATTCAAATTTTAAATATGTTGAAGGTAAAAGAAGAAATATGCTAAAAACATAGTATACTGTTACTCATATGATATTTTTTTTTTCCCCTCTCTCCAGAATATTGTTACAGAACTCTGTCACAACGTTCGTACATCAAATTTGGATAAATGGGAAGAAATTAAAAAACTGAAAGCATCCCTTTGGGCCTTGGTTTGTAATATGCACTTATATAAAATCTTTATAATTTTTAATATTTTTCCTTTGTTGCCATTAATATTAAATAAATAAAAAGTATTTTATTTAGAACTGTTCCTCGGATTAATGTTTGAAGAGGAGGATTGCCCCTGCCAATTTACGTGTTGTTTTTATGCTGAAATTCTTCATATGGTTTTACTATTAGTTTCTATGGTTTTTAGTTTTTTAATTTTCTTTCACAGACAAATGGAACATTAATTCTTAATTTTCCTTATTTGAGGTTTTTGTTTTTCACATTTTTTTCTCTCATTTGTAAGATAGGATTAAATTTGTTTTCCTTTTATAATAACTTTCCAAATCTCTTGAAAGAGTTACTCTTATAAATATACTTGATGTAATGATTTCTATTCTTTTAGGGAAATATTGGCTCATCAAATTGGGGTCTCAATTTGCTACAAGAAGAAAATGTGATTCCGGATATATTAAAACTTGCGAAACAGTGTGAGGTTCTTTCCATCAGAGGGTATGTCATATAACTCAGAAAGAAATCTAATGTATATATTATTATTCACAAATGTATGTGATGGGAGAATTTTATAATTCAGTATACTTCAGTTATGTAAGATTTTTAAACTCATTAAGATATTAAACCTTTTCAGAAATTCTTTGTTTAATATTATCATTTCCTTTTTATTATTTTGGGAGCTCTGGTGGCATAGTGCCTAAGGCATTTGACTGCTAACCAGAAGGCTGGCAGTTCAAACCCACCAGCCACTCCTCGGAAGGAAGGTTGGGCAATTTACTTCTGTAGTGATACTGCCTCGGAAACCCGAGGGAGGGGTCGCTATGAGTCAGATCAGACTCAATGGCAGTAAGTTATTTATTGGGTTTTATTATTATAATATTGAAGCTTACCTTGCAAGTAAACAGTGAAAGTGTAGTGTGTCTGTGTGTGTATGTGTTCTAAGTAGTCTGCATATTCCAAGCTTATACCAGAGAGCTATCATATTTTTTCTACTAAATTAATATTGTGTTCTTTTTATTTTACTCTAATTACTTTTATTTAAAAAGCTTTTATAGTATTTATTGCTGTCAATTTGCTCGTTTTAGTACGTTTTCATACAAACTAAACTTTTATTGGGTTTTCCAAAAATTCAAATATAAATATAATAGATTATTCTGTGATTACTTGAAGAGATCACAGCTTGGAATTATAAACTGTCATTACTACATCTTTTACGTACAGGACCTGTGTATATGTGCTTGGGCTCATAGCCAAAACTAAACAAGGCTGTGATATTCTAAAATGTCACAACTGGGATGCTGTGAGGCATAGTCGCAAACATCTGTGGCCAGTAGTTCCAGATGATGTGGAACAGCTCTGTAATGAACTCTCATCTATCCCAAGCACCCTAAGTTTAAACTCAGAGTCAACTAGCTCCAGGCATAATAGTGAAAGTGAATCTGCACCATCGAGTAAGTATCATGACAGGCTCATATAGAGTTAGCCAAAATTAACATTAACATTTGTAATTTAAAATTTTAAATGTAATTGTCACATTCCTAATTTACTTTTTTTCCTAAGATAAATTATTTGGCAGTAATAGCCACTGGAAGAATGTGTATCTTTTCACAGCAGGGAATGTAGCCACCAGCCTACATTGTTTCTCCCATTGCTCTCTAAATAGCCTTTTTTGTGTCTGGAAAGCCTACATATAGAGTTATATAATAAGACATGTGCCAAAAGAACAGTGCCCCTTTATTACTTATCAGGAAAAAGACAGATGTGACAAGTAAAGGTTTATTCACCCATTTTCTTCATTTATTTAGTAGTGGAAATTACTGAACAACAGTGTATTTTGAAGGAGTATTCACAACTTCATTTTAGGAACAACACAGAATTTCATAACTTAAATAAAAAGTCAAATTGTTAAGAGATAGAATACCAAAGTCAAATTATATATAAAACTGTTTGCGTTTTTACACCCTGTGCTATTGCTGTTGTTGTTAGGCACCATCAAGTTGTTTCTGACTCATAGCAAGCCTGTGTACAGTGAAACCCTCCCTAGTCCTGCAGCATCCTCACAGTCATTGCTATGTACAAAATTAAAGACATGGTTCTTGATTTTAAAAAGATAGTGCACCATGTTTCACTAAGTCTAGGATGGTATGAACTATAAGGTGCACCAATATTTTATGTACCAGAAGGAAAAAAAAAAATGTTGCCTATTAAATTAGGACATACCACTGATTGCAAGATGCATCCTTACTTTAGAGATGTTAAAATGTGAAGAAATACACATCTTAGAATTGGCAAAATAAAGAAATACAATCTAATATTCAGTTATTTAAGATTTTATTTTATCCTCTTTCAAAATATTTGAAGTAGTTTATATTTATTTAAAAAGAAGTTAGAATAAAATCCTGTGGCTGTCATTAGACAACTGGGTTAAGTGTTCTATTAGAGGTGGACACTGAATTTAGATGAGTTACTTAGTACCTAAGGCAAAATGGAGGAGTTCAGGTAGCATAGTGCCTAAGGCACTTGACTGCTCACCAGAAGGCTTGCGGTTCAAACCCACCAGCCACTCCTCGGAAAGAAGGTTAGGCGATCTACTTCCGTAGTGAATACCGCCTCAGAAACCCAAGGAGAAGTCACTATGAGTCATGTCTGACTCAATGGCACATAACAACAACAACAAGGCAAAATGATATATAAACATAATTGATTTAAACACAAACTCATAGCTTAGTTCTCTGCAAGTATATTTTGATTAGGATTAGGAATTCATTGTTTCTGTGATAATTTCTTCTGTTTGTTGTGATTTGAAGAATAAACCACCAGGAATCTTTATCAACATACACTATTTGCACTGTATTTATTAGAGCTGCCAAAGCTAATACCATATACTGTTGCCCAGAGTCTTGCATTGTTTCTCAAGAATAGTAGTGATATATAAATGGCATATATGTCTTTTTCCCTTATTTAATGAAAAAAAAATTTTAAGGATAAATCCAACAAAACCTAATCTGTCAGTCAGTGGAGCAATATTTAATGCTTTTGACTATCAATTCTGAAGTCAGATGACATGGATTTGAATTGCAGTACTGCCACTTACTTGCCCTGTAATATTGGCAAGTTATCTGATGTTTCATAGCTTCATGTTCCTTAATATCTTAGTTCTCTAGTGCTGCTATCACAGTAATACCACAAGTAGATGGCTTTAACAAACAAATTGCTCACTGTTTAGGAGGCTGGAAATCTGAATTCAGGGTTCTGGCTCTAGGGAGAGGGCTTCTTCTCTCTGTTGATTCTGAGAGGAAGGTCCTTTTCTCTTCAGCTTCTGTTCTTGGTCTCCTTGGTACTTCATGAGGTGTGCCATCTATCTTGCCACATCTCTGCTTCTTTTATTTGCTTGTTTAATCTCTTTTTATATCTTAAAAGAGGTGGACTTAAAATATGCTCTGAAGTTACCCAGTCTCGTTAACAACAAAGGCACCCATTCTCAAATGGGATTATAATTAGAGGCATAGAGGTTAAGATATAAGCACATTTTTGAGTATTACAATTCGATTCATAATATTCCACCCTTTAACCCCCCAAATTCATGTCCTTCCTACATGCAATACACATTCACCCCATCATATCATCCCAAAAGTCTTAAATCAACTCCAAGGCCAAAACCTCATTTTCTGAATCATCTAAATCAAATATGGGTGAGACTTTAGGTGTATTCCATCCTGGGAAAAAAATTCCTCTTCATCTATGAACCTGTGAAATATAGACTATAAGTTATCTGTTTCTAAAGTATGGTGGTGGAGCAGGCATGAAGTAGACATTTCCATTTACAAATAGAAGAAATTGGAAGGAAAGAAGAAGGGATAACTGGACACCAAGCAAGTCCAAAACCTAGCAGAACAATTTGCGTTAGCTCTCCAGGCTTGAAAATAATTTTTTATTCTTTGACACCATCTGGGCAATAGCCCTGCCCTCCAGAATCTGAGAGTTGGCTGTACTCTCGGGATTCTGGGTAGAGGCCCCTCAGACTTGGGCTTCAGCTCTGCTTTTCAGGCCCATTGGGATGGGAATTTAGCTCCCTCAACTTTGGGCAGCCCATTCTCCTTTGGGCAACTCAACTCCTTGACCCCAGCAGGCCCTGTTTTTCTGCCCATTGGGCGTAGCAGCCCTACTCCCTCAGCTTTGGGCTGCAGCCCCATCCCTGTGGCGTACTTAACAATAGCCCCACACTCTGGAACTGAGTTGGTGAAGCTCCAACTCTTTGAAACTAGGAGGCTGTGGTCTCACCCTTTGAGATCCAGGAGACCATAGTGGCCCCAGCCTTTGAAACTGAGAAAGACTTGCTTCATGTGCCTCTTCCAACAGTTCTGCTGACCTCTGAGCTTCACCAAGGATGGTCCTTTTTTTTTTCTTGGAAGACAGCAGATGTGACTCCTTTGGCCTATTTCTTTCCTGTAGAATTCCAAGAGGCAGACAGTGTTCTTTCCTTTCTTTGTCCGCTTCAGTCGAAGCTAATAGGTTTTCTGCTGTGGTTGTTGGTTATATTGTTCAGTCCCAAGGTTTAATCTCTTTAAGAAAAGATTGTGTAACCATGCCTTTTGTGAAAATTCTGAGACGTGTCCTTAGTTTGTACAACAGAATTTTCCAAATCTTTTAAGTTCTCTGTTCATTTTGCACAGTTAATTTTTGAGTCCATCTCTTTTCTCTCACATTTTACTATTAAACAACAGAGAAACCACGCAGGTCCTTTAAGATGTTGGTTAGAAAACTCCTTAGCCAAGTATCCAAGTTCATCACTTGAAAGTTCTGTTTTCACTAAACATCTCAACATAATTCTGATGAATTCTTTGCCACTGCATAAAAAGCGTTTCCTTTCCTTTCCTCCATTGTCCAGTCATCTGTTCATTATTTTCTTTCAAAACCTCACCAAAAGAACATTGAATGTCCACATTTTTATCAGCATTCTGTTGCTGGTACCATGTATATTCTCTAAGACGATAGAGACTTTCTTTGTACCTCTTTTTTCTTCCTTTTGAGTCCTCACCAGAATTGCCTTTGATGCCCATAATTCTAATCAACAATGTTCTTCAAGGCAATCTAGGCTTATATTAGTAGTCCCCTTAAAACTCTTCCATCTCCTAGTCGTTACCTAATTTCAGAACCACTTGAGCATTTTAGGTATCTGTGAGAGCAGCACCCCACTCCCAGCACCAAATTCTGTCATAGTTATCTGTTCTGCTATAACAGAAATACCACAGGTGGATGGCATTAACAAGGCTGTTTCAAAACAAAACAAAACAAAAAAATGTAAATCCACCTCTGTCAAGTCAATTATAGCAACTCTGTAGGAGAGAGTAGAACTGCCCCATAGAGTTTCCAAGGCTATAAATCTTTATGGAAGTAGACTGCCATGTCTTTATCCATTGAGCATTTGGTGGGTTCAAACTGCTAACCTTTAGCAGCTAGAAATATGAATTCAGGGCACTGACTCTAGGGAAAGCCTTTCTCTCTGTGTTGGCTCTGGGGCCCTTGTTTCTTCAGTTTCTAATCTTTGGTTCTTTGGTGATCTTCATGTGGTATGCCATCTTTCTCCATCTCTGCTTATTTTGCTTGCTTGTTTAATCTCTTTTTATATTTCAAAAGAGAATGATTTAAAACACACTCTGTGGTAATCCAGTCTCATTAACATAACAAAGACAATCCTTTCCCACAGAGTTTATAACCACAGGCATAGAAGTTAGAATTTACAACACAGTTTTTGGGGAACAATTTAGTCCATAACTTTTATCTACAAAATAGGGATAAAAAACATATTTTTATGAAGATGAAATGTAAATTGTCTAACAAAGTTCTGGGCATGTAGTTAGTACTCAAAATATGGTAGTTATTCTAAAATTTTGAGAAGCAGCTTTTTTTTTTAAGATAAGTACATAATTAGTTGCCAAGTTAGAGGGGAAAGCAGTTAATATGGCCTGAAAGACTAAATGAAGACGATACGCTTTAGCAAGTCATTGATGGATAGATGAGTGGGAAGGAAAATAAATAGTTGACTTAACTTACTGAACACTTGAAGGAATTGGGGGAAGCAAGGACTGTGTAAAGTAAAATCTTCGCTGATGAGTTGACAAAGCAGAACAAAGAAATATATGGAAAGAAAGAAATTTATTTTTTGCATGTTCATTCTTCATACAAATTTTCTTTATAATAAAGGGTTAGCAAGTGTTTTATAACCTCTTAAATATGCTATATATTGCATAGTTGCATAAAAGTGACAGTGGTTTTCTTTGGTGTTTTGACTGAGCATCGTAGCTGCATTTATTAGCATTTGCCACATAAATCTCCTTATCTCTCCACTCTATACTGTCCCTTTTGCATCTTTGGCTTAGAGATGCTCACAATTCTAAGCTATCATGCAGACTTTCATAAGGCTCTTCAGGTTTTCTTTTTCTCCTGTTCATTCTATCTCAGCCCCTTTTTTATTTTGAACAAGATGAGTCTCCACTGACTACGTGTAGTTATCATGTTTTTGAAATAGAGTCTGAATGGAGATGTATTGGATTTTGAAGACTTAAAACAAATAAAACAAGATATGAATATCTTAAGAATGTTTTATATTGTGCATATAAGATGGAAAGGATCCCTGGTGGCTCAGTTGTTAAGCACTCAGCTGCTAACCTGAGGGTTGGCAGTTTGAACCTACCAGCTGCTCCATGGGAGAAAGATGTGGCAGTCTGCTTCTATAAAGATTACAGCAGAGGAAACCCTAGGGGGCAGTTCTGCTTTGCCTGTAGGGTCTCTCTGAGTTGGAATCTAGTTGACATCCATGAATATCAAATGATAATATTTTGGATATGTTGGGTTAAATAAAATATATTAAAACTAATTTTAAGTATTTCCTTTTATGTCTTTAATAAAGTTACTAGAAAACTTAAAATTGTATGAGTGGTTTTATTTCTGTTGTGTAGCACTGCTCTGGAAAGTAAATGAGTACTCTTTTATATAGCTTATAATGTCTTAGAGTAAGTAGTAAAGTTTTTCTTTTTTTAAGTAAATATATATTAGGCAGGAGAAGGATGAGGCAGTCTGCTTACATAAAGATTTACAGCCTTGGAAACTCCATGGAGCAGTTCTCTCCTGTCTTTATAGGGTTGCTATGAGTTGGAAATTGATTCAGTGGCACTGGGTTTGGTTTGGTTTTGGTATGTGTAGAAGACTAGCAGTAATACTCTACTAAAGAACTTATGTGTAAGTACATTTGATTTTTTACAGAGATAGCAAAGGTTCTTTGGCCCTGTGGATGAGATCTGTTTTAACTAGGGCATTGAAGGACCACACAGTTCATGCTATTCTGATGTATGATCAGTTGAATGAAGGTCTGTGATCAAGCCTCTCTTTTCTCTTTAATTTTATCCTGAATTTTTGTAGAGTTTTTTAAGACTCAGTAGAAAAATCGGAAGAAACTTCATGTAGGCTGTGCCATATGAGTCCTATAGTTTTTCCTTAGAAATAAAAGGAGATTCTCATAATAACATAATTATATACATTTTTTTCAAGTCACATTCTGGTTCTCAAGGAAATTCTTTTCATGTGGCTTGGTCGTTTAATCCTTTATTTATTTATTTATTTTCCCAGAAGACTATTTTGAAACCGTTTTCCTGAAATGTGATCTGTGCCTGTAGTTACCATGATTTTGGTTGTCCTTTATTAACCAACTCTTTGATCACAGGCATGTTCATCCTGGAGGATGACCGCTTCGGCAGCAGCTCTACTAGTACGTTTTTCCTTGACATCAACGAAGATGCGGAGCCAGCATTTTATGACCGACCTGGACCTGTAAAGGATAAAAATTCATTCCCTTTCTTTGCTTCTAGTAAAATTGTGAAGAATCGTATTTTAAATTCACTCAGTTTGCCTAATAAAAAACATCGTAGTAGCAGTGATCCAAAAGGAGGGAAAGCGCCATCTGAAAATAAGACAAGCAGCAGGCGGATCAGAACGCTCACGGAGCCTTCCAGTGTGGACTTCAATCATAGTGATGATTTCACACCCATAGCCACAGTACAGAAAACGTTACAATTAGAAACTTCATTCGTTGGGAATAAACACATTGAAGACACTGGTAGCACTCCAAGTATTGGAGAAAATGACTTAAAATTCACTAAGAGTCTTGGTACAGAGAATCACAGAGAAAACACAAGCAGAGAGAGGTTAGCTGTAGAAAGTTCAGCAACCTCACATATGAAGATACGCAGCCAAAGTTTTAATACAGACACTACGACAAGTGGCATAAGTTCAATGAGCTCGAGTCCTTCACGAGAGACAGTAGGTGTTGATGCTACAACTATGGACACAGACTGTGGAAGTATGAGTACTGTGGTAAGTACTAAAACTGTTAAGACAAGCCACTATTTGACACCACAGTCTAACCATCTGTCTCTCTCCAAATCAAACTCAGTATCCCTGGTGCCTCCCGGTTCTTCTCATACACTTCCTAGAAGAGCGCAGTCCCTTAAAGCTCCCTCTATTGCTACAATTAAAAGTCTAGCAGATTGCAACTTTAGTTACACGAGTTCGCGAGATGCCTTTGGCTACGCTACACTGAAAAGGTTGCAGCAACAAAGAATGCATCCATCCTTATCTCACTCGGAAGCTTTGGCGTCTCCAGCCAAAGATGTGCTGTTTACTGATACCATCACCATGAAGGCCAACAGCTTTGAGTCCAGGTTAACACCAAGCAGGTGAGAAAAACTGACTTTAATAGTTGCATTTCAAGAGGTTTAAATGCAAAACTTGAGCCAGGTTTTACGTCTACATTTATATCCACAGCGCTGACCTATTATAATTATTTACTGTGGTTGGTTATAAGCTCCTAGTTACCCGATATGATTTGAAATGGATTCTTGCAGCTGCGAGGGGGGGAAAAGAAATTCCTTTAGGCCCTGAAAATAAACATAATAAGCGTTTCAATGACACACAAGTCACAAGCTTTTTTTTATTTATTTCTCGCTTCTGCAAGGATCGATTTTAAAAAGAAGCATGTCGGGGGAATCAGGAGCTTAAGACCTACAATAACAAACAACCTTTTCAGGTAGGTCAATTTAAGGCCCCAAAAGTTGACCTCTTTTTTTTTTTATTAAGATAATGAAGTATTTTAGGGAAATTCTTTCCCATTTGTTTTAAGTAGGTGTGATTAATAAGTAGGAACCTAATGAACACTAAAAGAATTATTTGACCCTTAGGATTTAGCAACACCAGGTTGCCTATACTCAAGAACATTTAAAGAGATTTCTATGCTGTATTTAAGGACTAGTATCAAATTGATCAAAGTAAACATTTAGATTATGCTTTTTAAAGATATGCAATTACGTTTAATTGATGCAGAGTTCTTTATTGTTGGGCTAAATATTTCCCATTTTTCTTAGGTTTAAATTATTTAAATTTGTTAATATATGTCAGGTACTTAGAGTAGGGCCCGGCATGTGGGAAGCACTCAGTAATATTTAGCTACTACTGCTATTGCTGTTATTGGCATTAATAACCTTAGTAGCTTTATTGGTAGTCATTTCTTTATATAATTCATTTGGCTCTTGTATAGCCAACTTCTTAATACTTAAGCAGTTTTGTTTCAGTAATGCTAACATATTTACTAGAAGAGATTCCTGATAGCAGGTAATAAATAATATCTATCTCCTATTGTAGAATTCTATAAATTATACGGTAATGTCATACTTACCTGAAACTCACCAGCTTTGGCAACCTAATCAGTCCAGAATAAAGCCAGGCAAATCTCTCAACAGCCCACCATTATAAAGCTGTGCAGTCAAGTTCATGAATTATATTCAAAGTGGATATCTCTGGCTTGGTTTCTGAGCATGTGGATATTTATTCTAAAAATCTTGGATATCGGATTCTTAGGTCTTTAGAAGTAATAAGTTAGAGCTTCTACTGGTAATCACAAGGAGCCCTGGTGGTGCTTTGGTTGACAGCTTGGCTGCTAATGAAAGATTGGTGGTTAAACTCACTAGTGGCTCCATGGGGAAAAGACCTACTTCCCTAAATATTAAAACCTTAGAAACCCTATAGGGCAATTCTACTCAGTCCTGTAGGGTTGCTGTGAGTTGGCATCAACTCATTGTCACAAGACAACTGGTAATAACACTGTGACAGGAAAGAATAGCTGATAAAAATGGTAGAAAGTTAAATATAACATCAAAGTATTTGAGGACTTAGAGACAACAGCCATCTGGTGCCATTCAGCCACCTAGGAAAGCAGTTAGTACCACTACCTGGAACAATAACCAAAGTGCAGTTAACTCTGACCCATCCACTTAGGTTTATTATGTCACTGAAGCAGGCAGGGAAGAGTTTTAATAAGCCTTAGAATCATTTTTATTCAATTGATTAAAGCATAGAAAAAAAGTTGTGGTGCTTAAAAATTTATAAGACTAAACCAGAAAAGACAGCTATCTCAAATCATTTATTCTTCAATCATTCTGGATTCTTAGGAACTTAGGTTCTGTATTCTTTGTTGAAACAGGAGAAGGTTATATGAAAATTCCAGAGATTTGCTAAGTTAACTGGCATTATAAATGATGAATAGACGTTTTTGATTCCTTGGGGAAAAACAAAAACAAAAGCAGTCTAGGGGAAAAGGAATTGCTTATGCAAAGGTTTGGAGGTCTAACAGAATTTCATGCTTATCAAATCTGCACTTGTTCTTCAAAATGTGTTTAGTATCTACTGTGTACCAAATCCCATGGAGGGGGTAAAAATGAGTATGTTGTCATTAGCCTTCTGTTTTGATTTCTGTTCATTGACTAGTTCAGAGAAAATGAGAATGGTAAAAAATAATTATAAATTTACTTTTAAATGGTCCTTTGGAATCCAGGCTGAGAAGCTTTGGAATTTTTTTCCCTTTTCGTTCACTTCTAAATGGAAAGAATAGGCGTACTGGTATCTGTTTAATGGATAGCATAAATCATCAAACTTAAAAATCATATCTCACTGAGATATTTCTTTGTAGCCTACTAGAAATCACATTGAACTAGAAATCCTGACTCTTGAGTTCTAATTGGCACTGAGTGAATAAACTTGGACAAAGGCTTCTGGGCCTTAGTTGCCACACCTAGTGAAGGTTTCACTAGATTGGTGGTTATAACATATTTTGATGTTGCTTTTTAAGCACAGAAACCCCCTCCCACCTTTTTCCCCCCACAGATGAAAGGTTTCTGTGGAAACCCAATATATAGAATAGACAGAGATGGAGTAACTCTTGTTGAAGTAGGTATCCAGAAGGAGAGTGATCAGTAATTCCTTCCCTCTACTCTAGTAACCCTTGATGGGTTTTATGAAGTCAGAGGAGTATAACAGAAAATAATTTGAAAACTACTGGCCTACTTAATTTCTAAGGTCTCCTATATATATTTTTTTTTAAAAGCATCACTTTATTAGATTTGCTTATGGATACTTCATCATTGTGATCATTAAAATTACAGTTGCTTGGGGTCATTCATGATAAAAACTCCCTGAGACCTTTGAATCTCAAGTCCCCAAATGGATTCCACAAATTGAAAATAAGATGTGTAGGATGTTGGTAAGGTTCACCCACTGTCTAAGTGAGTTGACTCTTGATTCACATTCTCATCTTTCTCTTAAAAGACCCCATGAGTAAGTGGTATTTTCCCCAGTGAGGTAAGTCTATGTACATAATCTCACCAGTGAGATAGATAGGTAGTATTTTCCCTAGTTGCAAAGTGCACTACATGTATGGACCTTTCTAGTTACTCTCAAAAAGAATGCCAAGGATCTGTTGGTATTCTTTTCTGCCAAAGCCTTCTTCCTATAGCTTCTTATTTTAGGGGTGGAAAAGAAATAAATTTCTTTTACAGCAAAATGATAAATTAAAAGTTTTGTTTCATAAAGTAGAACCAGAAGTGGTTTTTGCTGTGATGATCCTTATAGCCAGCATTTGTTAAGCATTTTGAAATGTACAGAATAATTTTGCTTTAATATTAGGCTGTATTAGTGCATTGTAAATGACTTAATTTTTCAAATAGCAATATACATAGAGTTGTGCAACCTTGCATAGTGCCTTGGACATACAAAGCAGATGCCCAGTATATATTTTATCATATATATTGCATGAACAAGAAGTTATGTGAGAAAAGTATACATTACAGAAATATTAGTATACCATATTTGTTACGGAGTCAATATTAAGGAGTACATTGAGGAAATAGCACTTCATATAAGGCTGTCTCTTGTAATACTTATTTATAAATGTACTCTTTTTGCTGTTTTGTGACTGTCTTCTATGTTACACAAATCTTAAGTTGATAATGAAAGCATTAAAGTAATTACCATATAACAATAAGTAATTGATCTTATTTTCCATAAATAGAACATTAAATAGCGTTAATAGATGTGTTGTTGGTTATATGATAGCAAATCTAGCAGCTAGTTTTTGAACCATACCTCTGACTTTTGAAGTCTGTTTTATTTCTTTTAGAAATTGAAAGTTATCAAGCTTTCATGATATCATGTAGGTAGCTTCTAATCTTAAAATTCCATTGACAGAAAATTCAGTTGCCCTCCTTTTTACCGTTACCTGGTAAACCGTTAACAGTTGTTTTGGTAACAGTCAACATTACTGATGCACTTTGTGTATCAAATTTTAATAACTAAGTATTTTTAAGTGTTTATATGTTCCCAGTAAACGAGATGGCATTACTTAACACTTAACTAGCTACTTAGTGTTTATGAAGGTAGGAAAATAAGTCATGATTTCTTCACATAGTAGTCAAAGAGCAAAACCAGTAGAGTCTGGTTGAAATTAAAAATAAAGTGCTTTCACTGAAGGCAAGACAATTTGCAAATTGGGAATCACAAAGTCCAGAGGATTTTGGACCAGGTGATCCAAGAAGGAGGCAATTCAGAGAGTTTATAAGAAAATACATGAAACTTCAGTTAAAAGTCAATGATTGGTGAACAATTTAGGTAATGGTTACAAGGAACTCAGAAAAAAGTCAGTGATTGTTTGACATTTAGGTCTTGGGTACAAAATTGTATAAGGGTACATCTGATTGGCAGGAGATTACATGTTTCTAAAGTTTGGGTGTTTTGTTTAAGTTACAAAGTAATCATTAAATTGGGTATTGTTGTTGTTGTTGTTATGTGCCGTCGAGTCAGCCCTGACTCATAGCGACCCCTCCTTGGGTTTCCAAGGCAGTATCACTACGGAAGTAGGATTGCCCAACCTTCCTTCCGAGGAGTGGCTGGTGGGTTTGAACCGCCAGCCTTCTGGTTAGCAGTCAAGTGCCTTAGCCACTATGCTACCAGAGCTCCCAAATTGGGTATATCTGACCTAAAAACAATCATGAGACATCCCCCCCCGCCCATTGCCTGACTGCAGGGAGGACATGTACATTTCTAAAGTTTGTCTTGACTAAGCATCTGTTCTGAGAATTGTTTTGGATAGGGCTTCTTAAGCAGTAAGCAAAACCCTTAATGAAGTAAACAAGATTACATTGTTCTTGGAAATTGTTTGCCATGTAATTTTCTCAGGGTACAGTAGAGAACTACAGGAGTAACATGCTATTCCTGCTACAGAGTTACTTTTGATTCAAAATGGTGTTTTAACCTCAGACCTTAACATAGCCACCATCTCATGTTGGGAGTCCTAAATTAACTTGGGGTGTTCTTACTCATGGTTAATATTACAAATCAAGAAACTAATGCAAGTATTTTGTTTGTGTGTGTGGTGTTTTAGGTTCATGAAAGCTTTAAGTTATGCTTCATTAGATAAAGAAGACTTATTAAGTCCTATTAATCAAAATACCCTACAACGATCCTCCTCAGTGAGGTCCATGGTGTCCAGTGCTACATATGGTAGCTCAGATGATTATATTGGTCTTGCTCTACCAGTAGACATCAATGATATATTCCAGGTATTATAAATTTTATTATTTTCTCATCTTTTTCATAGTCTATAATTGCTTACTAGAAATTGTAATTAAGAGTGAATTTTATTTTTGCAAAGGTGATTTTTTTTAAAGGCAATTTCTTTTAAAGGAATTTTAGGATAAAAATTACTTCCTCTTTCTTAACTCTTCAGTGCTTTTTAATTTAGTATCTTCAAGTCCCCAGAACTCCCCTCTTTCTGTGCTAAATAAGTATCATGTTTCGTTTCATTTCATTTTAACCTTATTGTTATGTATATTTGACTTACTCTTTGCTTTTTAATCCTTGATTTTTTTTTTTTTTTATCCCATGCAGAGCAACCATATGTAGTGGCCAACTTTATAAGGTAGCACTTAATCCCATGAGACACCTGCAGATCTCTAAATGATATGCATCAAAACCAAACTCCAAACCCACAGCCATTAAGTTGATTTCGACTCATAGCAACCCTTGTTGGGTTTTTGAGATAGTAAATCTTTACGGAAATAGATTCTCCCATCTTCCTTACACATAGTGACTGGTTGGTTTGAACCACCAACCTACTGGTTAGCAGTCAGATGCCTTAGGCACTGAGCTTCTTAAATGATATATAGTTCTGAAGAATATACAGCCTAAACACATTTTAAATAAATGCTAAAATGATTATTTCAATGCCCTCTTAATTCACCAAGAGTATAATAAAGACTTTTAGGGTAGTTCACTATTCAAGTTTTGGTATTTTAAACTTCTTCAGTAAACTTTTCATTGTAAGTTTATGTGCTATTATTTAAATTGTATTTTGTTAGATTTTGCCAATATTTATAAAGTGGGCCTTGTTTTTTATAGCAGAACTCACTATAATGTTGTACCTATTTTAGGTAAAGGATATTCCCTATTTTCAGACAAAAAATCTATCTCCACATGATGATCGAGCTGCAAGAGTTTTTGCCCCAGATGCAGGAGGTAACACATGATCTTTGTTCTCATCAAACTCTTCTCTATTGGCAAGGCGGGGGAGGTTAGTTCTTTTTAGTAGGATGAAACTAAAAATTCAGATATACCAACTTTTGAGTCAACTTAAAAATTATACTAAAATACAGTTGAGTTAATTTAAATTAAACAACAAATGTTTGTGAGGGACTTGGGAAGTCTTTCAAGAAGATATAAAACCAGATCAGTTGTTTCATATTTTAAGGATTAGTACATGAAACATTCATAACACCCATCCTCGTAAGTCCCAGAAACAACTGTTAGCTTGGGGTGAGGAGATAAAAATGTAATTATAAATTACATGATATCTCGTTGTTGGGAATTTTAATATTTTTATGGATATATGCATATAAACCACAGGTTTTATAGTTTCATATATATATAAAACAAGTATTTTTATACTCCAAATCATTACTTTTCTTTAGGCAGATATTGAGGATGATTGAAATGAACTTTAATTTTAAAATACAATTTTCTGTTTAGTATTTTAAATCCCAAATTAAAGTAATATAAACATATCTACTGATTTTAGTTATTTTCATAATTTAAAGCAATTTATTTATTTTTCTTTGTTAAGGTTAGATTTTGAGCCCTAAAAGGAGTTCTGGTTTTCTTTCCTAATTTCCCTTTAAAATTTCATAAAGGTTAAGGCCCTGGAAAGAAGTGTTGCTGATAGCTGTCTTCATTACCTTATATTTTATATTTACTTATGTACAGGTCTTTCATCTGGAACTGGAGGTCTTGTAAAAAACTCTTTCCACTTGCTGCGACAGCAGATGAGTCTTACAGAAATAATGAATTCAATCCATTCAGATGCCTCTCTGGTTTTAGAAAGTATGGAAGACACTGGACTACAGGAACATACAGATGATAACTGCCTTTATTGTGTCTGTATTGAAATTCTGGGTTTCCAGCCTAGTAACCAACTAAGTGCAATATGTAGTCATTCAGGTGAGTGAGTGTGCCCTTTGAGATGAATCCACCTAAATTTTGAATCTTCCACAATCACAAAATTTCCACCACCAACCCTGTTGATCTTCCTCTCTTAATATGTTCTCACTACCTCAACCGAATTTAAAATCACCTATTCATTTCTTATCTGGTTGTTCTGCATTACAGAGGAAAGTTTTTGAAAATTTTTTTTTCTCGATGTATCTTTCGCTCTTAAGTCTTTTGCTAGTAGTTTTATTTTAAAAGTCAAGATATTGTATGTGAGTAGTGTATTTCAAGATATTGTATGTGAGTAGTGTATTTTATTTTAAGTGCCTGACAAATACGTAATTTCTTTATAACTAAAATTTTTAAGCTGTGCTAAATTTACGGATATTCTTTCCCAAGGAATCAAAGTATTTTCAGCTTAGTATTTATAATCTTTAGAAGATCTTAGAGGTGAGATGAGGTGATGATATTTCTGTTTTGTGGAAACAAAGATAGGGAGCAGTAGTATGTTTTAACATTGGTTTTGTTTCCTGGACTTTTGAAAATGTAGCTTTTTTCCTCCACTCTGACAATGTACGATAGAGAAAAGAGCACTGGACTAGCTATCAAGAGAGCCAAGGTGCTGCCTTCTAACTGAGCATTGTCTTCTTTCTCTGAATCTAAGCAAGATAAAAGCTTTATCTAATTTCCACAATTTCTTATAGCACTGAGATTGTGTGCTTTTATGGGCTTCCCGTGTTACATCCTAAAAGGATAACCAAAGTCTTCCTGACTTCCATTTGGTGTAAGTCACTGGGTGACTTGATGTACATACATGCTTAGGAAAATTTTATTTAAAAAAATTGATGTCGGTTGAATCAACACTGAGATGTTCTATTGACTTAAAATCCCATCTAGGGGTAACTGTGCAATGTATGCATGGGTAGTATATATAGTACATTTAATATTAAAGTGAACTGAACTTTAGAAAAGAGAGGAAAGTGTGATTGTTATATTGGTGCTTACTAAATGGGAAAAGAAAGCAAGTCATAGAATAATACATATAGTTTAACCGTACCAGTACACAGAGCGAGAAAGAGAAAATACAAGCTGGCAGAAGATCTGAAATCACACATGTCAAACTTTATTTTATTTACCCATGGAAAGGGGAATTTAGATATGGGTAGGAGGGAAGGGAGGGATAGATAATTGTACTTTTACTTTTTTTCTATATATATTTATTTTTAAAATAATCACATTCATATATTTTCTAATTTAGAAAAATAAAGTTTTATTTATAAGTACATTTTGAATTTAACTAATTCCATTATTTGAGGGGTCACTCTGAAAAGTCTGAGTTTACTTTGAAAATCTGCAGTATGAAAAGTAATTGTTGAAAACTGGAAGGAAGTTATAAGAATCAATCATCTGTCTGGTGTATAATGCAAGCATAAGAATAAAGCATTATGATCATTGAAATGATGATGTACTTTCTCCTTCAGACCTTCAAGACATTCCATATTCTGACTGGTGTGAGCAGACGATCCATAACCCCTTAGAAGTGGTTCCCTCTAAGTTTTCGGGGATTTCTGGGTGCAGCGATGGAGTGTCTCAAGAAGGCTCAGCCAGTAGCACCAAAAGCACAGAATTGCTACTAGGTGAGTTTTCAGATTCAAATCTAAGGATTGTTAATAAAACTGTACTTAAAATTTTTCAAAGGCACTCTGGTGGTGCAGTGGTAAAAGCTTTTGGCTGCTAACAAAAACGTTTGTAGTTCAAACCCACAGCCACTTCATAGGAGAAAGATGAGGCAGTCTACTTCTGTGAAGATCTGCAGCTTTGGAAACCCTATGGGGCAGTTCTGCTCTGTCTCATAGGGTCACTGTGAGTTGAAATTGACTCAATGGCAGTGTTGGGTTGGGTTTTTGGTTTATAAATTTTCATAAGTACTATAAATTAAAGCTGTCAGACAACTACTGCAGGTCAATTTTAGTGAAGCGTATTTAGCTGACACTTACATATTGCACCTATGTCAGCAACTGACAGGAACCTTGTTGGCTGTATGGATTAGAGTTTTGTTCCCAAAATGACTTAGAGATCATGTGTGATTAGTCTCAGCGTTAGATCGTTTATTAGGTAGAGCTAAAAAACAAATCTCATGAGTCATAATCGTAGTCTATTTTGCTATAGATAAAATACCTAAGTTCACACTGAATTTTTTTTTCAGGTGTTAAAACAATTCCAGATGACACACCAATGTGCCGTATTCTCCTTCGAAAAGAAGTTCTAAGATTAGTCATTAATTTGAGTAGTTCCGTTTCAACTAAGTGTCATGAAACTGGACTTTTAACGTAAGTATGAGTATTGCTTTACGGTAAAAAAAAGATATTTAAAAGATACTTAAAAAGTTAGACTAATTAGCTTTACATTAGTAGTTCTTAGCTACTTTTTTATTCATATTTTCAATTAAAATAACATTGTGGCAATAGGTGAAATGCAGAAGTAGGGTTGAAAATCAGATTCTTTTAGGCCAGATTCTAAAGACATTCTAAAGACATTTGCAAAAATGTTAAACAGTGCCACTCTTCTCACATTTTTTCAAAATGTAGTCATTTTTTTCATTAAACTGTATGTTATTTATGTTAACATGTAATGGATTTATTTTTACATTTTCTCAGTTTTACTTTCTAATGGTAATTATCATTAGCTGTAACCCACAAAACAGTGACCTTTTTGGGATTTGCAATAAATTTTGAAAAGGTAAAGGAGTTCTGTGACTGAAAAGTTTAAGGAAAGCTGGCTTACATAAAACAAATGATATTTTCTTCATTTAACTTTTTCCTTCTCTCTCAGTAAAAGTGTCATAATTTTTATTGCTTTTCTAAATCTTGTTGGTGGTGGTGGTATGTGCCTTCCAGTCGGACCCAACTCATAGCAACCCCTCCTTGGGTTTCTGAGGCAGTAACACTATGGAAGTAGATTGCCCAACCTTCTTTCTGAGGAGTGGGTGGTGGGTTTGAACCGCCAACCTTCTGGTTAGCAGTCAAGTGCCTTAGGCACTATGCTATCAGAGCTCCCTTCTAAATCATAGCAACTGATAAAAGAAAATTCAGACTAGACCTGCAACATCTCTGATATGCACTGCTTAAAGAAGTGATTCTCAAAATAAATGCACCTCAGGGTGTCCTGTGGGGCTTGAAACAAAAGCAGTGCAGGTGCCAGGACAGTTCCTCTGCAGCCCTCCAGGCCTGAAGCTCTAGGAGTGAGGCCTTACCCTCCACCCAGCCCCGCACTGAGTCCCAGGTGCTGGCCGAGCCAAACACCATGGTTTGACATGTTGAAATACACTCAAGAAATAGTTCAAAAATTCATTTCCGTTTTCAAAGATAATTTTGGAAATATTTGAGTTATCCTAACCTACTATCATCAAATTGATTGCAACTCACAGTGACCCTTTAGGACAGGGAAGAACTGCTCCATAGGATTTCCAAGGCTATAAATCTTTATGGAAGCAGGTTGCATCATCCTTCTCCTGTGGAGCGTCTGGTGGGTTTGAACCACCAGTCTTTTGGTTAGCAACCAAGTACTTTAACCACTATGCCACCAGAGCTCCTTGAGTTATCCTAGGTTGATAAATTTTTCAATTTCTCATGTCAGTGAAAAAGAATATTTCTTACTTCCCAGGAAACATTCAAATTCTAATAATTATAAAAGAAATGACCCAAACTTAAAATATCCAATTTAAGTGGAAAATAGGAATATTTATATACCATCCCCTTACATACAGTTGAATCAACATCTGGAGGGAAAATATTTAAAACATAGATGATGCTTCAGAAGAAAAATATGTAAATCTTAATTACAGTTTTGTATCCACACTGAAGTCTTTTCTTTCATTTTAGAATTAAAGAGAAGTATCCTCAAACATTTGACGACATATGTCTTTACTCTGAGGTTTCCCATTTGCTGTCACACTGCACATTTCGACTTCCATGTCGGAGGTTTATACAAGAATTATTTCAAGATGTACAGTTTTTACAAGTAAGAAGATTTGTACTTGTGGCATTTACCTTCCAAGATTAATTCTGTGTTTGGATTAAGTTGACAGATTTTTATCAATTTATTACGTACTTGCAAGTTTTAACGATTTACCACTACTTTTCTAGATGCATGAAGAAGCAGAAGCTGTGTTGGCAACAGCACCAAAGCAACCTATCATTGATACATCTGCTGAATCCTGACCTCATATTTATGGTGTATGTAGGCATATCCTATATATATTCATATTTGTGGATTTCCTAAAAGCCTCAGAAAATGCTGACTGACTGGGCAGCAAAGACAGGAGCATCTTCTGTAACCTGTTCCAGCAATTACTGGTACATGGACAGTTGGAACTGCTGACTTCCCTAACCAAAACAATGTCCTCTCCCCCTCGTTGAGCACTTTGGGGGTGGGCGTCATTATTCATTACCACAGTTTCATGAGTTTTACTTACCATTGTATGCAAGAGCCAAGCACTGAATACCTATGTAGGTTTCCTTTTTTTTTTTTTCATTTGAACAGCATAAAGACAGTGGAACAATGATAGGATACGCAGAAACACCCTCACACAGTTGTGTATGAATTCTGTTTTTAGGGTAAATATAAAGATGCCTTGTTTGTTTACTACTTTGTGAAATCCAGGACTCTGTCTCTGAGGCTGCATCCTGTTAGCACAATGGGGTGTGCTCTAACTGCTGGTATTAGAAGGGAAACTTTGGCCCTTCCATATTGTTCCTAACGTTGGTAACACTACTTCAGAGGTGTGTGACCTCAAAGTGAAAAGAAGAGCCTCAACCACCCCGGACTTATAAGTTATTTTTATGTTATTAGGATTACATTAAGGTTGTTACTTGTTTTCCATCTCTTCAACTTCGTTGCAATGTAACATTATAGGCTATTTGAACTGATTAAGGTTTTTCACTACAGTTCCCGATTAAAGTCAGAAAATCATGTGATAATTGAAAGTATTTTCCATTTGTAGAATGTGCATACTTTCTGTGGACTTCTGTTTTCATCAGCTTCCCATGTCATTACTTTGAATGGGAACTTGAGCAAGCACTATTAATTTTAGACCTAAAGTAAAAGAAAGCATTAAGTAAAGCTTTGGATCTCCTGAGGAAAAGGTAAGTTTGCCTACAATTTACACATTCCATGGGAAAATAAGAGCCATATTTCCTTTTAAAAAATCATTAATAAAACTGATTATTATGTTTAAAAATTGTAGTGAAAAGCCTTAAACACCAAATTTAGCAGCAGCAGTAATTTAATTTTTCTACCAGTATTGTTGTTTTGCACAAATGAAATGCAGTGATAGGTGAGTTTATGAGGACAGTAATTGCCTTTATCACATTTGTGAAATTGTTTAGTTGGTGAGGGCAAGGCTTTTTTGTTTGTTTTAATTTGTGTATGTCTAAAGATATTTGGAAATTTTTACAGGAATTAAACATATATGCAAATTTGTATATAAAATAGCATGGCCATCATCATTAGAATGCTTGTAAATGAAAGGAATATCTTTTCTGAGATCTATATAAAAACAGAAAACACAATTCCAGCTGGACTCATTAGGACCCTTTTTTAATTCATTGGTGTGCACCATTTTTACAATAATACATCAGCTGGGACACAATCATAGCCTGTTCATTAATATTTTCCCATGTTGCAGATCATGTTTGTAATGAGTTTGTTCTTTTGAGATCTCTGTAAAGAAACCTGTGAACTAGAAAATGTAACTCACAGAGATGCGCTTTTTTTTTAGTTTGCTGGCACTGAAAGTTCCACTTGGGATGAAGAGTTTCATCTCGCTTCCTAACACCTCTGACCGCACTTCAGTGAACTGTTCTTACGTGCACTGTGTAGCAGCTTACATTACAGTAAAGCAGATAAGGGCTGTAAGCTGCTGCTTACGTTAAAAAGTGCTTCTTCAGATTTTCTCTTATAAAGCCCAAATGAAGATAAACAATTTTGTTCTTAATTTTAATTTATCGCTGAACCCAAGTGTTTATTTAAATGTTGGTAGTACTTCTAAGAACGTTGCCTGTCACCTTGGTCTTGGATAATTAAATTGCCTTTCCAGAGAACCAAATGTCAGAGATACTAGACCAAATAGTGGTTAAAGACTCCAAAGGAAGTAATGTAGTAATCTTACTCATAATGGGATTAACATATTGTAGACATTCATTTTAAATACTACCTCAGTTAACATAGAGTATAAAATCTGTGGTTTAATCCCTCCTAAGTAACCAGTAGTTTGTTTCTTCACACGCCACCACTCCCATCCCTGTACCCTTCATCCTTCCTGAAATTAGGACTTAGTTGCTTTTAGCCTGAACAGTTTTTGGATGGTTACTTTGAAAGATGTTTGTATATCATCGTATCTGCCTATAGCACTTAGTTTGGGGAGACACTCAGAGCTTTGTGGTTATAGTAAACTAAGAAAATGTCAGTACTTAAATTTAGAGTGCTGTTTGGTTTGTACTTGGTTTCCCTGACAGGTTTAATATGTTTTCTTTGAGTACTTGTTTGTATAAAAGTAGACTTTTATGATGAAAAATGCTCACATGCAGTGCCAAGCAACTAATTTAGATGTTTAAAAATATTAAATTATAGCAAAAAATGTTAGGAATGGTGTCAGTGGTAATAGAAGTAATTGAGAAAATCATCTATAAATAATAGATATTACCAGACAATAGAAGACCAAAATAATGTCAATAGTGTAGTTTATGAAGATTTTAGAATTAATCTTAGTCTATAAATTTGTACTATGGGTAATTATTGAATAATTTGGAGGAACTTGGGCAGTTATGCTGGTTGTAAACTGTGAATTTCTAATTGCAAAGTGAATTGTCATTTCTAATTGAATTTTTTTTTCAAGAACAGATTTGAGCTTCACATACTAAGTAAATACTGACAAACAAGAAAATTAGATATTTAGTATTTATAATAATATGGTCTAAAATTTCTTACGCTTTTATTTCCTGTTGTATGCTTAGGAAGATTGGGGGGGTCTTTTTTCCCTAATTAAAATATTTCTAATAAGGATTGGTAGCACAAGGACATTCTGTAAGTCAGAGACCCTTCGCAGGTGGTCACATTACTGTATTTATTACTCTGACCTAATGACATGTACAGGTACTTTTGAAATGGGGGCTCTTTATCCAGAGATAAATTAAAGCTGAGTTTCGTAGCATGTCACAGTGGCACAGTATTCAACAGTGAGGTGTCAATGCTTATTGACATTTGTCTACTGCTATTTATATAAAATTTTATTTCATTCAGAGGATGCCTTTTATCCCTACAATAAAGCACAGATCATTAAGCAATAAAAAGAAAACAATAAACTGTTCTGTCATTCAAATTATAATGCAGTTATTGTTGCATGGTAAGAGTGAGGTGCTAATTTTTGTGTGTGGATTAGCTTTGTAATCTACCTTGGGAAATTTCCTTTGAAAGTAAAGTGTTCTTCCCCCTTAGTCTCTTGGCTCCAGTTTTGTCTCAAACTCATGATCCATTAACATATAGGAAAAAGAAAAGATTCGCTTGATTGAGAGGGCTTTTTATGAGAAAAGCTGTTTAGAATGAAAACGTTTCAGATTTTCCAAAAATGAAAATTTGAGAACGGCTGCTATATCTCCCCATTCACAAAATACATTGTTACCATCTTAATTTCAAGAGTCTCACTACAGTGGGTCTCATCGGGAAAGCATCTCAATGTTTATAAAGAACGTGGACACCTGTGAGAATCTTTCTAAGACTTCTTTTCTCCTTTAGTTCCAGGCTGCCAGGGTGTTCATTCACAGTAGGTTTATGTGACTCACAGAATGTGGATTTCTTCTTGTCCCCTTTGGAATACTTTTGTAATGTAGGTGGACAGCAGTGCCACAGCATGCATAAATTGCACATTTTGTTTGACTTTCTTTATAAACTATTTAATTTGAAAGATAGTGTATGCCCCAGACAAGCATACCTTGCAATTTTGCCACTAAATAGGTTGATTTAGCACAAAATGCAAAGACTGGGGGTAGGGGGTAAAAAAACATTGAAAGTGTCTGTACTGGCCTGTCAGAAACCCTGAAGCTGCCATGGAAACAAATGGTGTACATTAAAGAATTGCAGACTCAGTGCTCCCTAACCACATGATTTCTTTTTCTTTTTTTTTTTTTTTATTTAGTAACGCTGCTACATATTTGGAGGTTCTCGTGTATGTAGGTCACTGAGCAGACATTGAAATCTGATTTATATTGTATAACTGTAACATAGAAAGAAAAAGTATTTATATATTTTCCGTAAGAATATTTCATTGAGTTGTGTATAATTTAAATAAGATTTGTCCCCAAATGGTTTTGCTCACCTTTTTTTTTTTCTTTTCGTGGTTTCCTTGTTTTGTACAATGTGTACAGTTTATGTCAAGGGCATTAAAAGCCTCCTGAAGCATAATCTTATCAAAGGGATACATTGTTAATAAAATGTACTTAAAATTCTTAAACTGACTTTGTTTTTCATTTCAAACAATGGTGGCCATATGACTTTGATCTGAATCCCATGACTCCCCATGCAGGTGACTTTGAGGTACCCCAAATAAGGATGTAGTTCAGTTACACATATAAGGAGGGCTCTTCCAAATGTTTTTAAATGATTATTTTCACATTCTTAAAATGTTCCAAATGTAATCAAACATGTTTATGGTTTTTTATCGCAGATCATTATTGTAAAGGGGTGGAAAAATGAATCTGTCTTTAGACAACAGCTCTTGAATTTTTCGA